TGTATTGTGTAAGATTTCTCACATTTCTCACAAACTGCAGTATAGAATCAGCATTTAATCAGGACAGTGTGTGGAAATGTAAATCATGAGGAATTAAATCTGTCCGAAATAGAGTTAATATTAAACGTTTGCCTGATGAATGGATTGGGGGACAGAATTAGGCCGTGATTTGTTGTTTCAAAGTGAGCATGCCTCACAATCTTTCCTCACAAAGTAAGCTGAACCAATCTTTATTTAGGTCATCAATCTGATTTCGACAGTAGCTGTGCAGCACACAGACAGATGTGAGTTAGAGTGATGACTTATTTTTGTTTGTTTTATTGTGATACCTGCGGAGAGAGGAAAAAAACCCCACAAAATTAAGGCTGCAGGATAAATCGCTCTCCGCTGCACACACTGATGCTGTTGTGACGTTAAAGCATTAGTCTAGTGGGGTGCCGTTACAGGCAGTGTCGTGGTATTAAAACCAAACAGCCCAGAGCTACATAGTGTTCCGCCATCCCCCTCCCTCATGTTTACTTAAACTGTTTTTTGGCCAAAAATAATAAATCAAAGCAAAATCTTGTTGTTGTTCTGAGAATGGTGAAGATTTTGAATGGGACATTAAACATGATTTTTTTTTTTTTTAAATAAGAGTATAAAATGTTTTTACCTGAGATTAAATAAGTTTGTCTGATTACTGCTTCAAATTATTATAAATCAAGTCTAGGAAATCCAATTACTGGCTAAAATTATAGATACATATTGAGTAGGATTTCTGACCACATTCTAAAGTTAAAAACCAACAGCTGATGTGCCTGTTTTTCATTCTTACTATTTTTTTGTGTTGCTGACATGACTGTAAGAAAAGAGTGTTATTTTCACATTTTGTGAGGAATCAACCAAAGAAATGTTCAGACTGGAGAGCTCACAATTAGATTATTGAGATGAGAGTTGTGCCTTTTTAGAGCCGTACAGCTGCCGGTCTAAACAGAATTCTGCCTTGAGAATGTCTGTAACCACGAGAAACAGAGTTCACTACATCATTGAGCTGAAGAATCCATCATCATTATGACACATTACTGTTGTCATTGAAAATGTACAACGCTTGCCAGCAAAGTGTTTCTGTGTGTGCGTGCGTTGATGATGGTGTTCAGGGGAAGGCAAATCATCATGCACATGCAAGGGAATTGTCATCTTCTAAACCTTTACACATACATACACATGAACACAAGATACACACTTCTATAACTTAGCAGCACAGAGATCTTACACACCGCCAAAACACGGTACACAAATAACATAACATGCACAGTCACAATCACATACTCCCACAAACACTGAACCCCTGTAGAGCTTGTGAAGACACAGGATTCTTAGAGGACTGTTATGAAAATGAATGTGGAGAGATGCATTAAGATACACAAAGAGAGGAAGACAGAACAAAAGAAAACTTTAATTCTAATACAATTTGTGTGACCATCATATAAAGAGAGAAGCTTTTTAAATCAAGAGTACTATGTGTAAAAAACTATCTTGTGGAGTTGATGATTGACCTTCTCTTGATTTAAAGATACTTACATTTGTGTATATTGGTACACCCTGTATTCATTCAAAACATTCCCAGAAAAAACAGAAAAACATCAGCTGATAATGCCTTTGCTTTGAGAGTTTGGAGAGAGAAAGAGCTTGCAGTAAAGAGATGAGGGTAAAAGTTCAGGGTTGAAGGGATGAGGTGATGACAGTAAGGGTTGTGGGATGAAGGGTTTGTGGCATATGCAAGCGTTTGGGAAAAATTTATATTAGGTGTATAGCCTTTGCATGTGACTAAAAGAAGCCAGACAACGCCACCTCAGCATACTTAGCTTAGACAGTACCACTATAGGGCACTCAGATTCTTAATAATAGGATGCAGAAGATGTGGTTCTAGTTTTAATAAGTAAAAAACATTGTTACTGTATTTTACATTGAAAATAATTGTAAAAAGAACACCCGGTCCCAGTCACACAGGGACAAAAGAGGGGATCTTATCGGGGTCTGAGGTGTACCAGTGGTGAGATGAGTTGAAGAGGGGTGAGAGGAATCCCAGGAGAAAAAAAAAACCCTATAAGGCTTAAAATATAGTTCTAAATGACAGGCACACACACATGCACGCTATGGTGGATTGAGTAAAATGGTACTTATATTGAGAATGAAAACTAGAAGGTGCAAGAATTGTAGTGAGGTGGCTACATACCGGTCAGGCCGTCAGGGAGAGGAGAGCTTCATGCTCAAACAACACATCAACCACTAACATACCTGCACTGGTGGCAACGGGAGTAAGGAAATGGGCAAGTGATGAAAAAAGAGACAAATTGAGGTGAACATCAAACACGTTTACAATTAGGTCTACATGACTGCTCAAGGAACTTTATTACATGCCAACTGCTATGAGTCCAGTTATATGAGCGAGGGGTTCATACTGTATGTTAGGAAGGCATGGAATTGTAAAACCTATGAATGAAAACGTCCTCGTCTTTGCCAGTGCTTCCCATTATTACAACAGAAAAATGTACATTTCCAAATCACCAAACAAAAAACAAAACAATTAGAATAATTCAAAGAATACTCAATCCAGGCCTTAATATAATTCAGAATAAGAAAGAGAATGATTTATTTTTTTGTCATTTTGATTACGGTAACTAGGGTCTTTAAAGCATTCTCTGTGCTTCCAGCCTTACTTTTCCCTTGTCTTTTTCCTCTGTATTGAAACCCTAAGGGCAGGACTCATAAAACATTAAACAGCTGCACTAGCTTGCCAATAAATAAAAGTGTCCCTGGAACCTTTTAAAGTTACTTAGCCACCTGAGGCTTGTTCAACGTAATGCTACATGTTCACCACATTCACCCTGTGGCCATTGTTACTTTTTAAAACAATATCAGAGTAGGAAACCCAAAAGCAATCATAGTGTCGTAATTTTTTGTATTACAGATTATAATTAGTTTAAATGCAGGGTACCTGTAAATAGTGATCACGTCAACACTTTCTGATAAATGGCCAAATGAGCAGAAAATTGAGTGTGAAAGTATTGAGGTAATCTATATAATAATGGCATTAACATGATAATTATAATGGTCCATAATAAACTCATAACTATGTGCTATTTTGTCTCTTTCATCCCTCATCTGGTTTACTGCCTTCGGAAAAATGACAAAGCGCCTTTGAATGGCAAAGTACAGAATGAGCTTCTGTACTCCTGCTGTGAATATATGTGTGCCTCTTGTTGCCTCCTTCCATTTCTGTTTTCACTGTTTTTTTAGTCTCCAGATTATGCCTTCCCTTCTGTTTTTGTTAACTTGATATTTATTTCTAGTCTACCTTTTCTTGCTGCCTCTGCGACAATGTCTGCTCTTTCATTTCCTCAAATTCTTAAATGTGCTGGAACCCTTAGGAATGTGGTATTTTTCTTTTGCCTTATTGATCTTGTGTATTTTAACAATATTGTATATTGTAAAGCAGACTGTTAGCTGTCCCTGTTTTAATGCTTGTCAATGTGGAAACTGAATCACTGCATTTTATGATCTTGTTTGAGCTACACTGCCATCAATATTGCAAACAGTTCCACTATAAATACTGTAAAACAATCAGTAATTTTCTTATTATTTTCAAGTTTTAGTCAAGACACAACATCTGCAGCCCCTGTTTCAGGTTCTTTTGGTCTGTAAATATGTATAACCTGTCACTGTACTCGTTTTCCATACGAGTGTTGTATTCCATGACTAAATTTGCTGTCCTATTATTTCACTTTATCTTGGGATTTTATTCTTATTCTTATTATTTCAGAGTACCCATAAAGGTCTTTCACGTCACACTACATTTAAACAGAATTATCTATTCAAGTCTCATGTCTTCAGCGACTCTGTCCTCTGTCCTGCCAAAACATTGTTTTTCTTTTCTTTCCTTCTCCCGACAATCACTCTCTTTCTTGGATGACAATGCCCCACTGTTTAGACTGACCCAGCAATTGTCTTTCCTAGACTTGAAAAAAGCCATTTGCACTGCGGGACCATGATGTGCTGCTGCCAAAACTTTTACATTTAAATTTTCTGATAAGGCTCTGCAGTGGTTTGACTAGTACCTTAGTGGAAGAGTGCAACGTGTAAGAGTCAATGGGAAAAGCCCACCTTCTGCACCAACAAAACAAATAGGGGTCTGTTATTGGTTCACTGTTAATTAGCATGTACCTGTATATTAAAGACTTACCTGAGATCTGTCCTGCAGTTGGCTGCCAGATGTATGCTGATGATACGGTTATCTATACATCTGCAAGATTGGTTATACAACAAGTTCAAACAGTGGGCGGCTGTGGCTCAGTTAGTAGTTAGTACCCGGTAGTTAGCAGAGTTGGTCATTGATCCCCAGCTCGTGCAGCCACATGTGTGTTGTGTCCTTGGGCAAGACACTTAACCCCAAATTGCTCCTGCTGCTTCCTCAGCGTTGTATGAATGTGTGTGGGATTAGTTACCTCTGATGGTCACTTACAGAGCAACCTCTGTCATCATCAGGGTGTGAACAGGTGACCTGTGGTGTAAAAGCGCTTTGAGTTGTCAGAAGACTAGAAAAGCCAAGCTCAAGTCCATTTACCATTTAGCATACATTTGAAATATGGCCATAATTCTGTTCTCTCAATATAGTAGGATTGAATCAATAGCTCCAAATATATATGCATCACAACATGGAACGCAGTAGTAAAACAACATCTGAGTATCTATCCTCGTCTCTGTTCTTCCTGTTCTAGCATGTGCCTTCATCGTCTGTGTGGGTTAGTAGCACCATCGTGTGGTCACAAAGTAAACACAATGATCCATCAAACAACTCCCTAAAATGAAGAAAAACACCAGTGTTACCATGGAATATCATTTTCTGAAAATCAAACACTTTATTTTATACAATAGTTTTTACAAATAGCAAATTATTAAAAAATAAATATTATTTAATTAAGTCATGAGAAACTGTAATTGTTATAGAACGTTTTTTTTTTTTTTTTAATTCAATTGTGGTTGTGATTGTCAAAACCTGTATGTTTGCTTATTAAAAAATGTTTCAGTATGAATGTTATGTAAGTTAGTGCATTAGTCTTTGTGTTCCTCCTCTGTCTTTTCTTTGGTAATGGGAAACTCCAGCGATGACCTGAAGCGAATGGGCCCTTCGCTCTCCCCGCTGCTAAGTTGCTTGGCAGCAGGGGCATGGATACGCAACTGTCCGTCATCCATCAGGGAGCAGGAGAGGCCAGACAGATCCAGGTGAGCGGGCAGGTCAATCTTCTGGACAAATCCCGTCTTTGATGAGGCAGAGGAGCAGAACGAAGCACAGGAGGAAGAGGAAGAGCGAGACTGTGTCTCTTCTGCTCCAGCCTGCTTCATGGCAACCACTGCAAGGCTCCGCCCCTCCACTTTGACAGTGATGTCATTGGGGGAATAACCACGGGCATCTAGGGTCACCAGGAGGTCATCTTTGTTATTCTTCTGTAGCTCCGTGCTAGAAGTCTCTCTCTGCTGCTTATCATCACTAAGCCTGAAAGGGAAACAAGATCTCAATCAGAATCAGCTGAATGACTTCATGAATGCATTGGTATCAAAGGACTCTTTCAAACCTACACTAACTAAATGTTTGAATCAGATGATGATACATATTCACACTTGGTAAGTTTCAGTAGTGGGCAAAAATGAACACAAATGTTTGTAGCATCCTAATAAAGACCTAAAATAAAGTGTCCACAGTGCTTTACTGACAAATTCTGTTTTTTTTTGTTTTGGAGGGAATGTGAGCTTCTCGTAAGCTGACCAGACTTATAGGCAACTTTGAGCTAATAGCTTCTGTAGTTCATCCAAGCTCATGCCATTCTTAGGCAGAAAACAATTAACTCTAATCACAAGACATGAGACCCATCGACATCAAACAACTTAAGAGAACATTTTTTAAAAGACTTGGGTATTCAGTTTAGCTTGCATTGCCAACTTATTAACACTTTAAGGTCAGAACAAACAACATCCAGTTTGAAATCAGCCACATATAAATCCAATCTGTTACATAACTGAGATCAACTGCTTTTACCATACCTCGCCAAAGTGTTAGAAAAGAAGGGAAACTGGCAGAGTCTAGTCAGGTGAGTCCCATCATGGAGCTCCCTCAGGAGGCTGTCCGCCAGCTTGGTTCTCTGGTTGAAAAAGTCTTGCTGCAGTGAGGGAAGGGACTCCTGCCGCAGCGGCCAAAGCGGCTGATCTTGGCTGAAGAAAGGGTCATCGCCAAAAAGGCCGGTCAAAGCTGCATGCTGGGACATCTTGTCCGTGTCTGAGAAAATTCTTGAAAAAAACGTTTTTAAAAAAAATCGACCTGTGAGAGTTGTGTTCTTATCCTCTTTGATTTTTGGAGGCAGATTCCTTTTTCAGACTTGATACCTCTGAGTGAGAACTAAGAGTTACCAGAGTGACTACTCCCTTTGTGTCTTCTATCTCGTACTTTGTGACATTAGAAGGGGTTTCCCTCCCTTTTAAATCCCAGCTGTCCTGATCCCCTCCCACAGTCCTATTTAAACCCCATGAGCTCACTGCTGTTTGTTAGCATGTGCCAGCCAGGAATGACCTGCAACTCATCAAAACTCTAAAGACAGCTCATGGTCATATCCGGTTTGGCTGGGTGTGGCTGTGTATGCTGAACGATACTTTATTTAGATGCTTGATCCATGTACAGTAAAATAAAAACACAGGGCAGTATTCATTTTCTCATTCAACATGCAGCAAGGTCAGTTTTCCAAAGTGTCAAACTTTTCTTGTGCATATGCTCACATTGGACTTTGTCAAAGCTGCAAGGATTAGGTTGGTTACACTAGCAACCCTAAATGATTCGAAAATAGAATAAATGACTCTTACTTTTTTTTCTTGTAAAACTCCAAATTTAACAGCAGCTGTTCAGAAGGTAGCATGTCGACCAGGAGTGTGAACAAAGCAGGTCAAGCCTCAGGTTTCAAGGCCTCATCACAGCTGCTTTGAGGGATGAACTCAGAGTGTCAACATTTCCCAGAGTCTTTCTGCATGTGTGTGTGTGTGTGAAGCAAGCATGCTCACATTACAAGGAGCTTGTGTCATAACTATTTGTGGCTGTCAAAGTGTTCTACTGTAAAACTGATATTTATATGCTTAAAGCTTTCTTCATAGTAATGTAATGTGTAAGGGCCTTATTCCTTCTACAATATTAAATCAGGTTTTTGCCTTTCCTGAATACTAAAATGTTGACAAATGTTAAAAAAGCCTTTCTCTATCCCCATTGTTAATGAGATCCTGCCAGCATACAAGGTGTCCTAAGTGCCAAAATAACTGTCTCCCATTTGATGAAAATGCTAATGCTGTGTGTATACTCACATTAAATCTCAGTTGGAGTGGGGTTGAATGGGATTAAAACTATTTTGACAGGGGGATAAGGTGAGTAAGTGGTGGTAAATGGTAAATTGACTTGAGCTTGTTTAGCTCTTTTAGTCTTCTGACTACTCAAAGTGAGCCTAGACCACAGGTCACATCTACCCATTTACACACTGATGGCAGCAGCTGCTATGAGTGACCATCAGAAGGAACTAACGTCATTCATACACATTCACAATCTGTCAATTAACTAGCAGGAGCAACATGGGGATAAGTGTTGTGACCAAGGACTCATGTGGCTGACCTTCCGGTTGCGAGACGACTGACTCTACTAACGGATCAGTGAAAATTTAAATGTTATTTATGTGAAAGTTAGCTAGTTTTAAAATTGAATTATTCATTCCTTTATCAAATTTAGTCACCACAAGAACCTGTGTTTACAGTAAACAAGTTCGAGAAACAAATAAAGCTTTTTCAAGACCATTTCTATTATCCAAAAAGATTGTACTTTAGTGCGATTAATAAACTTTAAAGATGCACAGCTGCTCCATTAAACACATTACAGAAATTCAGAATTGTATTGATTGTTTTTCATTTTGTTTATTTTAAAAACACTGCATTTAGTTAGCATTGATCATTTTATATGGTATTAGAAACAGACTAAGGGTATTAAAATAACACTGTTATGTTTGTTAAGTTGATGGGAACGCTGATGTGATTTTGGTCATTTGAAGTCTTTGCTTTGTTGTTGTGTCATGGGTACCGTCTACATTATGTGTTCTTTGTGGTCTGGATACAAACTGACTTTTAAAAAAATGTTTTTTGGTTGAGACATTGGTTGGTAGACTGAAAAGAGAAAGCAAGTAAACATTAGATCATGAGAAGAGCTGCTGCAAAAATAAAGAAGTGTGTCAGTGAACCAGGGGTTTCAGAGACATACATAGAAAGGATGATACAAGATGGCTGCTGATAGCTCAGCTCATATTACTGAGTTGTTATTATTACACCACCCAGAAAAGACTGGTCAGTATTTATGGTTGTATGATGTTATTCATCTTGAACATCTCATAGTCATGTCTGCTGATGTGGATTTCCTAAGTACAAAACCACGAGCTGACACACAAAAGTACTGTTCTTTATGAACATAAACACATGCATTATCTTGTACATCTAACACATTTATTTTTTGTTGTTGTTCAAAATATGTATCATCCGACTGGTTTTAAAGAGCCCATATTATGCCCTTTTTGGGGTTCCTATATTTAATCTATGTACCTACTAAAGTATGTTCACAATAGCTAAAGTTCGAAAAAAGTGTCTGTTTTCATGTACTGCCGCTCGATGCACCGGCTCACTTCTGACTCTCTCTCTAAGGCTCTGAAGTGCCCACGTTCAGGAGGACGTAGGAGAAGCTGTGTTTCCGCGGACTTTGAATTTTTGCACATAGATGTGCCTAAACATGCACAGGACACATGGAAAACACACTAAAGGGCATATAAAACCAGAAAAAGCATAATATGGGCCCTTTAACAAGGTGTTATGGCAACACTGTCCCTGATAGGTTGTATGGCATGGCTGTCAAGCTAGTAAGGAGGGGGCGGGCCTTCCTGCCTGGTCAAATGGCCAATGGCAGGGAAGCCACCGTCTTCATTAGCTGGCAGGTATGCAGGACACAAATGCTTGGGAATGTGAGAAGCTTCGTGGTAGTTGGACAAGAGACTGTGTGTGCCTTCCCGTGTTCTTTGTAATTAAGTCTTTGAGTTACTGTCATGTGTTTTTGTTAAATAATGAACTGTCATCTGACGGAGGAAAGCGTTGGTTTGGACCGAGCAGAGTGAGCTGGTCCAGAGAGTGACGCATCATTGTGCCAAGAGAAGACTGCAACAGGTAAGGTCCGTCTTCCTTACCTTAGTTGGCAGCCACAAACAATTATGCCGCGGGCAGCAGACACCTGGAAGCCCTGGATGTAGTAAAAATCACAAGGTTGTGTTTGCCGTGACAAAAGCAACAATTATTCCCAAGTATAAATGTCCTTAAGAACATTAACCTCCACTATGGTAAATGATAAATGGACCTGTCGTATACATTTATACATAAATATCTCTACATGACATGTGTAGGTAAGTACCAAAATCCAGGCAATCCTGTCAAAGGAATAGTTTGGTGTTTTTGAAGAAGTGTAGTATAAGGTTCTTGCAATAGTATATATTGTCCACAGGAGATGTTGGTCAGCTCAGCTGTTCAGGCGTGGAAACTATGTTATACATTGTTTGCTCCACGCTAAAATTTAGCTAACTTAAAAAAAAATCAGCTGGTTGGTTCTGCAGGCTTCAAAAGAGACAACAAATAAATCCAGATCAAAAAGTGAGCATTTTTTACAGCGAATATTACTAGCCCTTAAAATGTCTCAATAATATCAACATGTCACAGTCTAATTATCAATCTACGTTAACAAAACTCAAGTTGAGTTGTACGATATAGACCTAAACAGCTGATTAATGCGCTGTGGATTGAAGAACATGTAAGCTATGTGGTGTGCCGAAGCAGTGCAAATTTAATATTCATTTACCCCGACGTAGTTTTTCAGTAAAAATATTTGACTTTCCTGAGGGAACCTTCCCAAGGGATTAATAAAGTTCCTATCTATCTATCTATTCATCCATCCAGCCATCCAGCCATCCAGCCAACCAGCCAACCATCCAACCAACCAACCGAAAATTAGGGCTTCTCCGAAAGGGACAGCTCCTACCTTATCACACGTATCTCTGGAAATCAAAATCAGAATTTCTGAATTTAAGCAAAGTTTTTAACAATACCATTTTCAATTTTTGAAATATACACACTTAAAACACACATGATGTGGTTTAGGCGAAAATTTTAAATTGAAAAAAAAAAATCTTCTTAAGAAGGTTATCTTAACATAAAAGCAAGTTATTTGACTTTTCACCGGACTCAAAGCTGTCATCAGCACCTAACAGGAAACTAGTGGAGCCAGGATAACACAGCGACCTGTACAGTGGGGCCCTATTACTGTAATATGTGAGAAGAGAAGAAACTACCAATAGATTAAGACTAAACAACTTTAATATATTCTTTAATATACTGTATATATTATAAAACATTTTATAGACATTCCAATTGCCTTAATGAACACAGCCTTATATGTAACCTTAATGAACACAGCCTTATATGTAACCTTAATGAACACAGTCTTATATGTAATCTTAATGAACACAGTCTTATATGTAACCTTAATGAACACAGTCTTATATGTAATCTTAATGAACACAGTCTTATATGTAACCTAAATGAACACAGTCTTATATGTAACCTTAATGAACACAGTCTTATATGTAATCTTAATGAACAGTCTTATATGTAATCTTAATGAACACAGTCTTATATGTAACCTAAATGAACAGTCTTATATGTAATCTTAATGAACACAGTCTTATATGTAACCTAAATGAACACAGTCTTATATGTAATCTTAATGAACACAGTCTTATATGTAACCTTAATGAACACAGCCTTATATGTAACCTAAATGAACACAGCCTTATATGTAACCTAAATGAACAGTCTTATATGTAACCTTAATGAACACAGTCGTATATGTAACCTTAATGAACACAGTCGTATATGTAACCTTAATGAACACAGTCTTATATGTAACCTTAATGAACACAGTCTTATATGTAACCTTAATGAACAGTCTTATATGTAACCTTAATGAACACAGCCTTATATGTAACCTAAATGAACACAGCCTTATATGTAACCTTAATGAACACAGTCTTATATGTAACCTTAATGAACACAGTCTTATATGTAACCTTAATGAACACAGTCTTATATGTAATCTTAATGAACACAGTCTTATATGTAACCTTAATGAACACAGTCTTATATGTAACCTTAATGAACACAGTCTTATATGTAACCTTAATGAACACAGTCTTATATGTAACCTTAATGAACACAGCCTTATATGTAACCTAAATGAACACAGCCTTATATGTAACCTAATGAACAGTCTTATATGTAACCTTAATGAACACAGTCGTATATGTAACCTTAATGAACACAGTCTTATATGTAACCTTAATGAACACAGCCTTATATGTAACCTAAATGAACACAGCCTTATATGTAACCTTAATGAACACAGTCTTATATGTAACCTTAATGAACACAGTCTTATATGTAACCTTAATGAACACAGTCTTATATGTAACCTTAATGAACACAGCCTTATATGTAACCTAAATGAACACAGCCTTATATGTAACCTTAATGAACACAGTCTTATATGTAACCTTAATGAACACAGTCTTATATGTAATCTTAATGAACACAGTCTTATATGTAACCTTAATGAACACAGTCTTATATGTAACCTTAATGAACACAGTCTTATATGTAACCTTAATGAACACAGCCTTATATGTAACCTAAATGAACACAGCCTTATATGTAACCTAAATGAACAGTCTTATATGTAACCTTAATGAACACAGTCGTATATGTAACCTTAATGAACACAGTCGTATATGTAACCTTAATGAACACAGTCTTATATGTAACCTTAATGAACACAGTCTTATATGTAACCTTAATGAACACAGCCTTATATGTAACCTAAATGAACACAGCCTTATATGTAACCTTAATGAACACAGTCTTATATGTAACCTTAATGAACACAGTCTTATATGTAACCTTAATGAACACAGTCTTATATGTAACCTTAATGAACACAGTCTTATATGTAACCTTAATGAACACAGCCTTATATGTAACCTAAATGAACAGTCTTATATGTAACCTTAATGAACACAGTCGTATATGTAACCTTAATGAACACAGCCTTATATGTAATCTTAATGAACACAGTCTTATATGTAACCTTAATGAACAGTCTTATATATAACCTAAATGAACACAGTCTTATATGTAACCTAAATGAACACAGCCTTATATGTAACCTAAATTAACACAGCCTTATATGTAACCTAAATGAACAGTCTTATATGTAACCTAAATGAACACAGTCTTATATGTAACCTTAATGAACACAGTCTTACATGTAACCTTAATGAACACAGTCTTATATGTAATCTTAATGAACACAGTCTTATATGTAACCTTAATGAACACAGCCTTATATGTAATCTTAATGAACACAGCCTTATATGTAACCTAAATGAACACAGTCTTATATGTAACCTTAATGAACACAGTCTTATATGTAACCTTAAAGGTCCCATATTATGCTTTTTCTGGTTTTATATGCCCTTTAGTGTGTTTTCCAAGTGTCCTGTGCATGTTTAGGCACATCTACGCAGAAACGCGGCTTCTCCTACGTCCTCCAGTTAGCTGTAGCATTAGCTGCACGTAACGCTCGGTTCTAGCCCCCCTCGATAAAAATTTGTCAGTGTGGCGTCATTGTCAGTGTGAGATCACTGATCTAAGTCCATTGGCTCGTTGTGGCAAGCCCTGCAGCTCATGTTGAAATTTCCGAGACGCGTGCTGAGCAACTGACCAATAACGACAGAGCGGATCGGCAGACACCATCAGAGCAGACCTGGCCCATGTGGGGTCTAACAGTGTGGGCTCAACAGAGCGTAGCTGACGGACTCAGAGCGTGGAAGGAGCAAGGAGGAGCAGTACATGAAAACAGACACTTTTTTCGGACTTTAGCTATTGTGAACGTAAAAAGGAACGTAGTACATAAATTAAATATATGAACCCCAAAAAAGGGCATAATATGGGCTCTTTAATGAACACAGTCTTATGTAACCTTGATGTGTAAAGCCTCCCACGATCTTGATGATAAACGACCTCTAATTATGGAAGAGAAACTTCTTCTCTTATGAAGAATGTATGATAAAAACTGCTGAGTTGTTTCTGTGTGTATAAATATGTGTTCTTGAGTCCTATGAACTACTCTCACAGACTACTCTGTACTCTGTGAGATTTGCACCTTAATAAAGAAACATCTGAATTTCTAACAATAATGCTTTAAAGATTATTTGATATTTTATGACAAAATGAAAGTCATAAATGTACAAAATAACTTTCAAAATGCAATGTATCCTGCTAAAAAAAAAAGATTTAGGATTAGATCTAAACAATGACTAGCGCACAGTCTTGCATGCATGGCGGAAATGCATTAAGGGCAAAGGTTACATAATCTGGGCACACAGTAAGACAAAAGTACAGAGGGGATGTATCTTATAATGGGGCCTTTAATTACTACAAAGGGTAAGTAACATAACTGCCTTTTACTGCTTTTAGATAGCTATTTGTTACAAACCTGCTCACACCTCATATAAAGACCAACTAAAATGTTAGCACTTTAGAATTTGTCGTGTTCTGACTACTCAAATTGCTTTAAACGTCATGTTAGCACACACACACACACACACACACACACACACACACACACACACACACACACACACACACACACACACACACACACGGCAACCTCAAAAGTTCTCAGAAATATCCTCATGCTTTCCATAAGTGCCATCAGTTGTTTCAGTAAGTGGTTTTACATTTTCATAGTCATCTTCTTCTTCACTGGTTTCTTCTTCCTCTTGTCTGTTTTCATCTTCACTGAAACAGACCCCCTTGTCCATTCTCAAACGTGAATTTAGGCCTACTTCTTCAGAATCATGATCATCAAATCGCTCTGGTTCCTCATAAATATTGTCCTCATCCACTGTTTCCTCTTTGAGATTCTTCTTGGTTTCCATTGAATTTATATTTACATAATCATCTTCATCATCTTTGCAATACTTTCCCACTCTGACAGCCACTGAAACAGAAGTATTGGAACAATGTGTGAGTTATGAAAGATCTTTGGAGAAAGTGTGTATTCAAAATTGTAAAACTGTGTGTCTTGGTGTGTACATTTGTTGTGGACAAGGGTTGGCTGCTTTGCTTATTTTCTTAAACTGCGGGCCAGACAGACCACCACCAGCAGCACCACCAGCAGCAGCAGCAGCACCAGCAGCAGGAAGCCAGCAGCTAGTAAGGACACCATCGACGACCGAGACGCTGAGAGGGAAAAGCATTTGATTCATTTATCCTACAAGTTTACATGTTTAACCTCTCACCATTGCCTAGTCAAATGTACTTCTGATATATAACCCCCAGATGTATCATTTCTTAACAAAGCATCACATGAACAAACCTAATTTGATTTCAGTATCATTGAAAGACTGGAATTCCAACTCACTCTCACCAACCAGCAAGAAATCTGGTCATTTTGATTTATGACCAAACACTGCCAATACTGCACTTAGAAGGTTGTGTTCTTTATGAATATGGGCATTTTAAAGGGCCCATATTATGCTTTTTCTGGTTTTATATGCCCTTTAGTGTGTTTTCCAAGTGTCCTGTGCATGTTTAGGCACATCTATGTGTAAAAATTCAAAGTCCGCGGAAACGCGGCTTCTCCTACCTCCTCCTGTTAGCTGTAGCATTAGCTGCATCTAACGCTCGATTCTAGCCCCCCTCGATAAAAATTTGTCAGTGCGGCGTCTTTGTCAGTGTGAGATCACTGATATAAGTCCATTGGCTCGTTGTGGCAAGCCCTGCAGCTCATGTTGAAATTTCCGAGACGCGTGCTGAGCAACTGACCAATAACGACAGAGCGGATCGGCAGACCAATCAGAGCAGACTTGGCCCATGTGGGGTCTAACAGTGTGGGCTCAACAGAGCGTAGCTGACGGACTCAGAGCGTAGAGGGAGCAAGGAGGAGCAGTACAAGAAAACAGACACTTTTTTCGGACTTTAGCTATTGTGAACGTACAAAAGTAGGTACATAGATTAAATATACGAACCCCAAAAAGGGCATAATATGGGCTCTTTAAGACAAATCTATTTTCACTGATGATATTTTAAACTGTTTTTAAAGCTTCACTTGATTGTTGTCTACTTGTTGTTATTAGTCTGCTTAGCTTTGCATTTTGTTGCACTGGTGCTTTTACACAAATGAAGGGAGATAAAGAGAGATCACACAGCTCGTAAAGATTTTGTTAAGGTAAAATATAACTTTACTCATCAGTGGTTTTGTTCATGTAAAAATATGAAACTTAATGCTCCCACCTACTTACATTTAATGATAACGCTGATTGGTCCAGTCTCAGTAGAATTAAATCTCCTTGTAGACAGTTCGACCTCATACACACAGCTGTAGTTGCCCTGGTGTTTATATTCAGCTACAGGGAAGTCAAAGGAGGCCGAGTGGTTGACTGTTCGCTTTGCGGCAACAATGGTTGAGTCAGAGGAGATGAGAAAGAATTGGCCCTCAGGATAGCTGCAGTTAATGGAGCAGATGAAGACAAAGCGGTAACCCCTGGTGACCTCTGCACCTTCAGGACGCCAGACCAGCCCTCTGTTAGGAGATGTGAGAGAGATACTCGGCTGTTGCAGTCTCACTGGTTTCAAAAGGGTGAGATGAAGAAAATATAATACAACAGGATTTATTTACAGAAAAGATAAGATCTAGATCCAATAAATCAATCAATCAATCAATCCAAATTTGTATAGCGCCAAATATTATCTCGAGACACTTTAACAAAAGAGCAAGTAAAAGACCTTACTCAGATTGTGAGTACATATTAAAGAAAGATAAATCTAAAAACAATAAACATCATTGAAAAAGTAAGTCTAAAAGTAAGTCCAGTCTGCATTGGAACAAGCCTCGATTTAACATGAACTGGATGACTGAGAACCTACACAGACAACATTGAAAACAAGAAACTAAATAAAATAACTTATATTGTATATTTAGAAAAGTCTTTACAAATCAACATGTTAAAGAGACTGACTTTTGTCCTTACCAGTGATGGAGAGTCTGAGTGGGTCACTTAGGACGGAGGCGAAATTTTGACTTGAAATGCTTTTCTTGTACTGACACTGATAGGATCCATCATTTTCAAGGTCAACTTGAATAATGTTGAATGTAGCAGAGTTGGAACTTGGTGTTTGGGTCACTGTGAATGAGCCTGGGATTTTCTGAAGAGTGAATGTGCCACCTAGAAGCTCAGCTGTGATGGAACAAATGATGACGATATCCTGACCCCAGGTAACCTCACCAACAGGTATCATGGAGATGCTGGGCTTAGGGAGGCTAACTGAAAAAAAACAACAATATTTTGGTGATACACTTCTCTTAATTTATCTTCAATCTGACAAGAATATGCCTATGTTTTTCAGATCGTATTCAGCATATTCTGGCAAGCCACAATCATCAGAAGTATGTAGAATACACCAACTATCAAATAATCATCTGGTTAACTTGTTTTGTATAATCAAACCGGATGTATTGAATAAAGGACAAACTATTTTATATCTTTATAAATAAACAAATACATTTAAAAAGTATGTTTAATCATGGTACTTGCTTTATTTGAGTTTTATTATAACTTTCCTTCCTCTGAGCTTAAAAGTGTTGTTAACTTTGATGATACCACTACCACATATCCTGCTAGTCACAGCAAACTTCTGGCACCAAATGAAGAGGAGCAGGAAAGGGTTTGAACCTCACAAATACATGAAGTGCCAGTGAACACAGCAACCCAAATAACAGACGCTCTGCTATTGCTATAACACATACTGTATATTTGTGGTTAAGAGTTATGTATTTTGTATTTTGTTAATGTACTATAAATTCTGTTGAGTTTCAAGTGAACATTTGTCTTAGTTAGAAATACTCTTGGCATTTATTGAATGTATGTCCCCACTTAATCCAATTGAGGCATTGAAGTTGTGTGTGAAATGTGATAAGAAGTAATTTTTACATTAATGGTGGTAAATGGACTTGAGACTCGCAAAGTCTTTCTAGTCTTCTGACAACTCAAAGCACTTTTACACTGCAGGGGCTGTATTCACAAAATCTCTTAAGTACTAAGAGTTGCTCCTTGTGACAGAATTCTTAGAACGTTTTTAGAATCGTGACATTTCCTAAGGATTTTCCCTCAAAGTTAAGACTAGAGCCTTGTTAAAAAAGGAAAGTTATTCACGCAGTGTCTTAGCCCTTAAGAGAGCTCCTAAGGCTACAAACTGTTAAGGAGTAGTGAGGAGGACTTTTAACAGGTTTAAGAGTTTTTTCAAGCAGAGGAGAAAATGGAAACATGTTCTGCAAACACTCCATGAAGAATATTCGTTTTCAATCATTGTTTGGCCGAAGAGACAAAAATGATATGTGCAGACATTTAATAAATCCATCTGTGACTTCTTTCAGTGCAAAGTGAGACACGTATGTTGAGTTTGTCTACGTGTGGTTACCTCCACAGGTGCATCCAATCACTAATTTAGGACCTTCACATGTTGATATAACAATCAGCATGTAAAGAGGCTGCTGCACAAGTGGGCATGTGATTTCAAACATTTTGTAGGCTATATATTTTTAAAGTATATTTATCCCACGGAGATGTTCATTTCTTAGTGATCATAATTACACAATGGGCCCAATCGATTTCACTGTCTATGGCCATTATCACTAAGACAGCACAGTTTTTTCTCCATTTATTAGCTCAACCAATGACAGCTTCTGAAAGAAATGTGTCATATCTAGCAACGGAGTCAACCACGCCTCCTCATTAAGACAAAAGTTTCCGTCTCTTCCTTGCTCAGAGTTGCTCTGAGAATGTTCCTAAATCATTCCTAGGCTAAAATTCCTTGCTCGGAGTTTTTAGTGTAAGTTAGGAGCTCTCTGAGAGGATTCTCAGAATGTCTGTGAATACAGGCGCAGAACTCCCGGTAGAGAGATGACCAACTCAGCCACTGAGCCACAGTCGTCCTTGAAATAAATGTAAGCAATATATATATATATATATATCATAATAATAATATAATAATATAATATTATTATAATATAATAATAATAATGAATGATAAAGTAAACCTATGAGTAAAAAGCAGCTTCTCTTTGATGATAACACTGCATTACCATGAATGATTACACTGACTTTATCTTTGTTGAGTTGATGAGACTCAGCATTCTCTCCTCCAGCCCTTTAGGTTGCCTTTGATATTTTCACAACTTCATCAATATTTAAAATATTAAAAACTATGCTCACCAGAACAGATCACACCAGCATCCTCATTGTGTTGACAGTTGTGTTTCCCCATTTCTTTGGACTGACACTCAGTTAGAAAACGTTCACTTCCTGAACAGGCCACATCATCCAGCAAGATTGGGTCAGCTCCTGTACCAAAAAGGGCACTTCCAGGAGCACTCAGTGCCGTCCCACAGTTTAGCTGTCTGCACACCACCTCAGCATCTCTTAAGTCCCAGTCATCATCACATACTGTTCCCCAGGTACTGCCATAGAAGAGTTCAACTCTTCCAGAGCACCGAGTAGATCCAGCTAATCTGATCTGAGCACCTGAGAATTGATCACAGTAGAAAAAACATTTCTGGATGAAACATGCCTTTCTTTTCTTACTGGGTCATTTGAAAAACTGATTTGAAGATAAATGCAGAAAAACATTTTGATTCATTTAGAAATATTGTATCAACAAATCACGATTATCATTCTGCTCTTAAATTTAAAGAGCATGCGGCAGGGTGTGGTTACCAGCTTTTACATGTGAAAAAGTTCCTACAGGCTGCACAGACCCACAATGACAAAAACAGGTTGATTTCAAAAAGCACACTTGATTTTTCAAAACATTTGTTACAAAAAGGTTCTTACCTGAGCAGACCACGCCAGCATCCTCACTGTGTTTACAGTTGTGTTTTCCCATTTCGCTGAATTGACACGCAGTTAAAGAACGTTCACTTCCTGAACAGGCCACATTATCCAGCAAGATTGGGTCAGCTCCTTCACCAAAACTGGCACTTCCAGGAGCACTCAGTGCCTTCCCACAGCTCAGCTGTCTGCACACCACCTCAGCATCTCTTAAGTCCCAGTCATCATCACATACTGTTCCCCAGGTACTGCCATAGAAGAGTTCAACTCTTCCAGAGCAATGAGTAGATCCAGCTAATCTGATCTGAACTCCTAAAAAAAACACATAGAAGAACAAGCACACAAAAAACATTTTTTTTGTCATTTTAAAAACTGCTCCTGAAAGACACCTTTGACAGATGTTATTTAAATGGTAAATGGACTTGAGCTTATATAGCACTTTTCTAGTCTTCAGACTACTCAAAGCATTTTGACTCTGCATGTCACACCCACCCATTCACACACTGATGGTAGTGGTTGCTATGTAGTATCATCCATCAGAAGTAACTAATCCATTCATATACTGGCACTGAAGCAGCGGGAGCAATGCAGGGTTAAGTGTCTTGCCCACAGACACATCGGACATGTTGCCCAGCTGGGGATTGAACCCTCAACCTTCTGGTTGAAAGACGACTACTCTACCAACTGAACTGGAAAGGCTACACATACACAGATTCAAACAAGAGAAAGTACAATTTTGCCTTGTAAGTCTGAATCAGCGTTCTCGTGCTCGGCCAACAACTCCAACTGAGCCACAGCCGCCCCTTTAGAAGCTTGTGTTAAAATTAATTTGTTATTCTGCTCTTAAATTCAAAAAGCATGCAGCAGGGTGTGGTTTACATATTTTGTGTGTGAACAGCTCATAAGCTTTACAATGACTATGAAAAAGCAGGAATAACACATTCATTTAACTGTTTATTTAGATCTCTTCTCATTTGAGCAGCCCTCATCCACACCCAAACATGTCTTCAGTAATGTGTCCTTAGTTTTCTGAGCGACACTCAGTTATTGACCTTTCAATTGCTAGACAAGCCACCTCATGAAGGCTATTTCCTTCCCTCAAGTAATTGGCACTCACTGCCGCACAACAGCCCAGCCGTCGGTACACCACCATAACATTGTTCTAATTCCAGCTAAACTAGCCCAATTGATCTGATCTGACCACCCTTCAGGCACATAAGACTTAATACAGGCTATGGTATCGTGGTGGAAATGAAGCAATTTTAGAAAATTGGACTGACCTGCAGCAGGCAAAGAAGAGGTCCAGAGTACAGAGACTATAGAAGAGAAGAAAGTTACAATAAGTGCAGAAATATAAACGTCCTTTTTTCATCTAACTCTCTCTGTATATTTGAATTAATTGAGTATAATAAAGTATAGTGTCATAACTATTCTGTTAACCTGCTTTCAAATGTTGAATCTTGGAACATTCTTCTTACCCAGGGTCAAGTAAAGGTTTCTCTGTTGTATGCTCCTCATGGCTGATGCATAGGGTGCTTGTATCATTATCGGTGAAAGGACAGACCGAAAAATGACTTTAAAAAAGTCTGCAGACGCACTTAACCCTGCTTGTCTTTTTTCTGAAATACTTCCTCTTTACAGTGCTGATGTTTTTTTTAAACAAAAAAGTTCAGCAGCACTCAGCAGAACTCAGCTGCTTAAATTGGAACCGCTGCTGCACAGAGACAGCAAAGTTGTCACAAAAAAAATATTTTCAGTTCTAGGGCTTAATCCTGTGAATTTTATAAGCATACTGTTGTGAGGGTTGTAGATAAACCAATTGGTCTTTCTCAGCTCTGGTCCCTACAAGTAAAATGAGCCATCCGTCATGTAGTGGGGCTATCCTTGTTAAGTAATGTATTAAATTCATGTTAGGGTATTCAGTTACCAATTCCTGTTTTTACTTTGTTACGTGCAGCCTTTCTTCCTTCTCTGGCTTTAACCCCCGGAGCCATAGTCTCTGCATTTCAAGTCTCTTATCTCCTTGTTCCTCTTAAGAGTTTGTATTTTATAGTCCTGGTCTAAAAAAACTGTTTGAAATATGTATTAAGTACGAAAGCATTAGCTGATGCTGCCATGACAAACACACTTCAAGTGATAAAAGGACATCCCATGTGTCTATAGTGACATATTGTCTTGTTAGTTTTCACCTTGCATAGGTATCTCCGTTCATCTTTGGTAGGACGGACTAAAGACACAAGCCTTGAGAGTGGGCAGGAGGCATGGATGCAACTTAAGAGACCTGGGTCCTTTCCGAATAGCTACAGATCAGTAGGATGTGCAGACTTTTCAGTAGGGAGTTTCAGTAGACTGAACCCTTGTGGTCATTCAGTGGTCATTTTTTGGGTCCACCTCAGTAGACTGAACATTTCAGCATGGATACTAACTTCCGGGTTTTATGCATATGGATTGGATATATCGTTTCAGGAAATGAATTGTATTTTACCACCCACAATGCTGTGTGAAAATAAACATAAAATGTCACTTTACGTGCGCCTCCAAATCAAAACAAACGAGCGTGGATTAATTGAATCAATTTTTAATCTAGAGTTAAAGTCCCGACTGAAATCACTACTTTTAATAAACAACAAAAAATGTAACAAATGTATGAATTCAGTAGACAGTACCTACTATATGTGCTGTATACTTTTAGTATCTGCACAGTAGGCAGATATTTGTTCCTTCGTCGTCTGATTCATTCAGTAAAGTAAAATAAACCAATAAAGGCGCATACATAAATAAACAGTAGTATTCATTTTTTTACAAATTGAAATGGTGTTATGATTTTCTAGATTTAAAGCAAAATTATGTGGATAGAATGAATAAGGAGGAGAACAAGGTAATATATCTTAGGCATAATGTAACACGTGTCTTCACTGTCCACTTGATCGGTTCACACTTTAAGATTTTAATTGTTTTTTTACTTGATAAAACTGTTTGCCATGGGTCAAAGGTCCAGTACTTTTGCCATTTTAAATCATTCTGACACCTAAAGGTCTAGATAAATATCCTCCTGTTTTTCATAGCTGTCTAAAGTTGGTTCATTAAATGGCTGGATTACACTGTCATAGTAATCTTCAACTTCACTGGTTTCTTCTTGTTGTTCTTCTCTTTCTTGTCTGAAAAAGACTTCGTTGGTCTTTCTCAAGATTGAATCTGGGGCCACTTCATCACAATCATGGCCCTTGTATCTCTCTGGCTCCTCATATATATTCTCTTCTTCCACTCTCACCATTTCCTCTTCCCAGATTCTTCTCGGTGTCAACTGAACAAACATTCACATAGTCCTCTCTATCATCTTCATAACAACTCCCCACTCTGGCAGCCACTGAAACAGAAGAATTTGAAACACATGTCAGTACTTATGGCTGAACTCTTGAGAAAGTGTGTATTTAAAATGTAGAAAATATGTGGCTTGATGAGCACATTGAGTTTGGACCAGGGTTCCTGGCTGCTTGGCTTTTCGTCCTCTTTTGCAGAGCAGACAGATCACCAAAAGCACTACAAGCAGCAGCAGGAGGATCCCAGCAGTTACTGAGGACACCAGAGGCAGATTATAGAGAGGCACTAGGAAAGAGAACATTTGATTAGTTTATCATACATAAATGTTTTATTATCTCTAAACCACATACGGCTAAAATAGTGTGCTTTAAGTTTAAACCCAAGACTTAGATATAAGGGTGAGGGTATTCATTCATATGCTAAACCAGTGGAAAAAAATGTAAGCTTCCATCCACTTCAGCTTTACCCCAACGACATCTGCTGGAAACTAGGTTACTATGATTCATGACCAAAACATTTTTACAGACCGATTAGGTTTTGTCCAACTTAATATGCTGCCACCTTGACTTACCATTAAACCAGGGCTGCAAGCATACTGTACACATACACACCTCTGAAAATGGTCAAATTGCTGCAGCACAGCTGGTCTTTAATCAGCCTAAACGAGTTTATGGTACTCTACTTTAATAACTAAAATTGCTGAGCGGAGCCATTGCTATTAAGAAAGAGGAAGGAACAATTTTGAAGTCATGAGGAAGTTATTAGTTGTTGGTAAATGGTAAATGGACTTGAGCTTCGTTTGAGAAGGGTTTCTTTTCTCCAGAAATGTATTTTTATTTAACCAGCCAGTAACTTTGATTTTTTTAGTTAAGTTTTTGCCCTGTTTGGGTCTTTATCTAATTTGGATAAAGGCTTATCTGCCTTTTCAGAGGAAACAAAGGGAGATATTGCACATCATCACCAATATTGCACAGTGTACACTTTAATTGGTAATTAAAAAATTAAAAAATGCTAAGCTTAATTCTACTCACATTTAATAACAACCCTGATTGCTCCTGTTTCAGTAGAATTAAATCTCCGTGTAGGCAGTTGGACCTCATACACACAGCTGTAGTTGCCCTGGTGTTTATACTCAGCTACAGGGAAGTCAAAGGAGGCCGAGTGGTTGATTGCAGGCTTGGTGGCAACGATGGTTGAGTCAGAGGAGATGAGAAAGAATTGGCTCTCAGAGTAGCTGCTGTTAATGGAGCAGATGAAGATAAATCTGTAACCCCTGGTGACCTTTGCACCTTCAGGACTCCAGACCAGCCCTCTGTTAGGAGATGTGAGAGAGATACTCGGCTGTTGCAGTCTCACTGGATTCGAAAAGGATAATACAAAGAACAATAAGACAACAGGATTTTAAAAACAGGTCAGGATAAGGTACAGATTCCTGATAAAGCCCCATACACAATCAAGCACATTAAGGCTGTGAATTTATTGGTAGTTGAAATGGAGACAAAACTAGCTTCTTGTGAAGTTCATACATAGACACCGCACAAGAAAACAAAAGTTGTGTCTTGATACTTCTTGTTTATACTTCCTCATTATGCATTATGCTTCCTCAAATACTTTAAGATGTGAAGCTCTTTTGGGAGGTGCTCTAATAACTTATTATCTTTATCACATAGTGTTCTACTGCAAAGACAAAAACATGTTTTAAAGAAAGTTTAGACACTATCATATCAATTTTAACCTTTTTAACAAACCATCAATACAAGAATGACCAAGTTGACTTTTGTGTTATATTTTAAAATGATCAATATTTGTTTAACTTACCAGCGATAGAGAGACTCACAGTGTCACTTCGGGGGGACCTAAAGACTTGACCGGAGACACTTTTCTTGAACTGACACGCGTACAATCCCTCATCATCGAAGCTCATTCTATGGATATTGAAGGTGACAGAATTTGTATTTGGCCGTTCGGTCATTTTGGAATGACCTGGGATCTTCCTCAAGTAAAACGTTCCATCATAAATCCGAGTCGAGATTGAACAAGTGATGTTGACACTCTGATCCAAGTTTAGCTCCCCAACAGGATTCATGGAGATGGTTGGCTTTGTGAGGCTTTCTGAAATAAATAATACAATACTTACATTGTGATACAATACTCAGTGATATCTGACAGTTATCAGCCTTTGTTTTTCAGATCTCATTATGCATATGGTAAGACATATGAAGAATCATTGATAAAATATGGAAACGCCATCTATGAAATGATCATCTGCTTACACGACTTGTTTTGTATACTCAACCGTCTCTATATTGGATATATTTATTTAAAATGCAAAAAAACGCTTTAAATGTTTAACTAGACATTGTACAGTATGTTAAAGGCCGGAATGATTCGTCTTAGTGGTCATGCAGGCATGGACGGGCAGTCTTGCATTTCAGTTAAATGCCAAATGAGATTTTTTTCCACCAGCTTTGTGAGAAGAAAATGTGTTGGTGGATAGTTAATTATTATCAAAATTGTAGATTAGCTTTATCGACATTCAACAACTCCTAGCTCCGACTGCCAAAAGGTATCAGGTTGTGTAATGTCAGAGGAGAGAATCGAAACAAATGTAATAGATAATAAAGGACACAAAAGCGTGAGGTTGTTTCAACAAAGTAAATGAGAAAACTAAAATCAAAGTTGAGGCTTTTGCTGCTTTGTGTTCAAAAAAAGGTAGTTAACCATTTCAAATAGATTTATTTTATTTATGTATTGATAGCTCTAAACTGCTGTAAACGCTGTGGTGTCATTCTAGGTGAATTCATTTCGTGTGCTGTTGTCTTTGAGGTTTCCTGTACTGTCAGTTCTGTTGACATGCAATTGTCTTGGTTAATACACAACATACATCCACAACAAAACCTGTTGAGGTCTTTTAGTTATTTCTTTTCTCCGATGACAATCCTGTAATTATGATAACTTTTATTACAACATAAATCAGACAAGAGATTGAAAACTCACCAGAACAGATCACACCAGCGTCCTCATTGTGATTACAGTTGTGTCTTCCCATTTCTTTGGCCAGACACTAAGAAGCTTCCCTTCCTGAACAGTCCACCTCATCAAGCAAAATTTGACCAGTTCCTTCACCAAAAAAGGCCTCATGGGGAGCACTCAGTGCTGTCCCACAGTTCAGCTGTCTGCACACCACATCAGCTTCACTTAAATCCCACTTATCATCACACACTGTTCCCCAATAACCACTGTGCAAGATTTCAACTCTTCCAGAGCAATGAGTAGACCCAGACCCAGTTAATCTGATTGAAGAACCTAGGAATTCAACACAGAGGGAAACAAATCATTGCTGCAATTGTTTTCTCTAAGATTGTATCTGTTTTATTATATCGTCTTTTTAAAGACACGTGGCAAAAATTCATGAATAAATAACAAAATATTTATCAACATTTCCCTCGTATTATTCTGCTCTTCATTTGATAAAGCATGCTGCATTTTTGTTATTACCAGTTTTACATGTGAAATGATTCTACAAGCTTCCAAATCAATACAAATATGTTTGTTGAGTGACAAAAAAGGATACATTATTTTCCTATTATTATTATTTTTTTTAACTTTTTTTTCTCAACTGAGGAAACACAAGAGTCCCAACAGTGTCTGGAGTCCTGTGCTGACCTTAGAAATCCAAGTTTTCACATCACCTCAGAAACGTTTAAGTAACAGATATTAACATATACAGTGGGTACGGAAAGTATTCAGAGACCTTTACATTTTTCACTCTTTGTTTCATTGCAGCCATTTGCTAAAATCAAAAAAGTTCATTTTATTTCTCATTAATGTACACTCAGCACCCCATCTTGACAGAAAAAAAACAGAAATGTACAAATTCTTGCAAATTTATTAAAAAAGAAAAACTGAAATATCACATGGTCATAAGTATTCAGACCCTTTGCTGTGACACTCATATTTAACTCACATGCTGTCCATTTTTTCTGATCCTCCTTGAGATGGTTCTGCTCCTTCATTGGAGTCCAGCTGTGTTTAATTAGACCTAATTCAGGAGGCACGTCAGCAGACTCCCTACTGCGACCAGACAGCCGGGAAACTTCAGGGGAGGGAGGACATTTCAACGAGGCAATCCTCCCTCCAGACGCTAATTGAGCCTCAACCACTGACCACACCCCCACAAGAGAAACATGTTCTAGGCCATGTCGAGGACACTGATTCTCAGGCTCCCTGGAACACACTGCTGAGGACAAAAATAAACTTTAATTCTGTGTCTGTGGAGGCCACCTTGGACACAGGAGCTACCCTTTCAGCTGTACGAGCAGACTTCGTCAGAGTGGATAATGCCTATCCAACCAAAACACGCCAGTGGGTGGGTCCACCTGTAAGCCTTGCAGACAACGCTCCCTGCACCCCTGATGGTGTCACTTGGCTATCCATCGGCTTCATGAACAAGCGCTTCTACCAGCGTTTTGCCATAATCCATAACCTGTCAACTCCTTTCATTCTAGGAATGGATTTTATGATCAGAGCCTCGATTACCATCCACATCCCCTCCAGAACTGTATTTATGGATGAAATTCCTTGTCCTGTTGATGAGGTTGTGGACTATACAGTTGAACCACTGATTGAAAAAGACACTATTATGACCTTGGACACCCTACAATCTTCACTGGTGACAAAAATAGATGAGGCGAACCTCGAGGGACAACAGAAAGAGGCCATGTTCAGTCTTCTTACCCAGTTTGGTGACATGTTTGATGGTAATCTTGGACACACTTCCCTGACGGAACACACAATTGATACAGGTCAGGAAAAGCCAATAAATCTCCCTCCCTACCGCAGCTCTCCTGCGAAGAAAAGACTTGTAGAAGAACAGGTAGAGCAGATGTTGAAAGACGGAATCATTGAGCAGTCTACCAGCCCCTGGGCTGCCCCAGTTGTGATCGTTAACAGACCTGACAGGGACCCAAGATTCTGTGTGGACTATAGAGGTTTGAACCAGGTCACACAAAAGGACTCTTACCCCCTGCCTCGTATTGACGAGTCGCTTGATTTTCTGGCAAGAGGGCAGTTCATCACAACACTGGATTTGGCTCGTGGATATTGGCAGGTGGCAGTTGCAGAGGAATCCAGATCAAAAACAGCCTTCATATCACACTGTGGCCTTTTTCAGTTTTGTGTCCTCCCCTTTGGTCTCTGCAACGCACCAGCCACATTTCAAAGACTAATGAACAGTGTACTTGCTGGTCTCATCTACAAGACATGTGCAGTGTATCTCGATGATATTGTTATTGCTTCTCCCACCTTCGAAGAGCACCTGACTGATCTCGAGGAAGTGCTCAAAAGACTCAAAGCCACTGGTCTGTCTCTGAAACTAAAGAAATGTCAGTTCTGTCTGAGTGAGCTGACCTTCCTAGGCTACCGCATCACGCCCTCAGGCATAAAACCCGATATGGAAAAAATCAAAGCAGTAATGGACTTTGAGAATCCATCCACTGTGAAACAAGTCAGACAATTCCTCGGACTGACGGGATACTATCGTCGTTTTGTTCAGGATTATGCACGCCATGCTGAGCCTCTTCATGCGCTCACAAGGAAGGACACAACTTTTCACTGGAATGATAAATGTCAGGAATCCATGGACATTCTGAAAAAATCTGTTACATCAGCACCTGTCTTACGGTTTCCTGATTTCACTTGTCCATTTTTCATTCATGCTGATGCTTGCGACCTTGGCCTGGGTGCAGCCCTGATGCAGAAAGACGAGGAAGGTCGTGAGGTTGTTGTGGCTTATGCAAGTCGCTCCCTGCACAAAGCTGAAAAGCCCTACTCTACACCGGAGAAAGAGTGTTTAGCTGTGATTTGGGCTTTTGAACATTTCAGGCCTTATGTGGAGGGCCTCCACGTGACTATCTTCACAGACCACAGCAGCCTCCGGTGGTTAATGTCCTGGCCTAACCCCTCTGGCCGCCTTGCACGGTGGTCCTTAAGACTTCAAGATTTTGACTTCACTATTGTGCACAAGCCTGGTACACATAACAATGTGCCAGATGCATTGTCTCGCAACCCCTTACCCCATTCCGACAATGCCCCCACAGATATCCTACCAGACTACGCTGTCATTGGCAGTCTGGATCTTCGCAACCTGCCACCTGTGTTGTTGCTTTCGGATCGTTCTCATGTAAAGCACCTACAGCTGGATGACCCAGTAACAGGTCAACTTCTCCAAGGTCTTGAAAAAGACGGTCATGTGGACACAGATGAAAGTGGCCCTCATCAGTATGTCGTTTATGACGGCCTGCTGTACTACAAAGACCCAAAATCAAAATGTGGTTTGCATCCATTAAAGGACCTGAAACTCTATGCCCCCACATTGAGCCATGGCACCTTGCTCAATTATTACCACGACCACCCCACTGCTGGTCATCTTGGTGTTTCAAAGACTCTTGCAAGGCTGCGTTTCAGATTTTTCTGGCCAAAAATGGCTGCAGATGTGAAGCGATATGTCACCTCCTGTTCAGTGTGTCAGCTCACCAAGCCGTGTCAGAGAAAACCGGCTTGTCTCATGGTTCCCATCTTGCCTCAGAAGCCCTGGGAGTACACAGGAGTTGATTTTGTTGGACCGTTGCCCTGCACTGCATCCGGAAATGCTTACTTGCTAGTCTTTATTGACTATTTTTCCAAATGGATTGAGGTGTGTGCAGTCAGAGAAGCAACAGCGCAAGTAACAGCCTCAAAGTTTGTCAGCGAGGTGTTTTCCAGGCATGGTGCCCCGACTTACCTTATCTCTGACAGAGGTATGCCTTTTGTGAGTAGGTTGTTTGAGCATGTTGTTTCAACCATTGGGACTGTGCACAGGCTCACCACAGCTTACCACCCTCAAACGAATGCCACGGAACGTGTTAATCGAACTCTAAAAACTGCTATACGAGCTTATGTTGGTGACAAGCACACATCATGGGACAAGTTTCTTCCCCAGATCTGCTTTGCACTCCGTACAGCCCCCCACAAGAGCACTGGACTCAGCCCTTCAATGATGCTGTATGGTCGAGAGCTGGACACACCACTCGACCTCATAACACAACCATCCTGTGACGGTGTGGATGAGCCCAGCATCCTCTACCCGGAGACTCTCAGAGCCTCCCTCAAGGAAGCACATGACCATGCCAGAGCAGCTCTTGACCACAGTCATAACAGACAAAAACATTACTATGACTTGAGACGTCGTCAGGCTACCTTTGCTGTGGGTGACCTTGTTAGAGTGAAATCCCACCCCAGGTCTGACGCACAGTCTAACTTTACGGCTAAACTTGCACCCCTGTTCACAGGCCCACTACGTGTTAGTCAGAAGCTGGGTGAGGTAAACTACAGACTGTCTAACCTGGACACTGGTACTGATGCTGTAGTGAACTTGCAACCTTTCCACACGTGGGACTCTTCTTCCTCCAACAGGCGCGATGTTCCGGTGACTGAGGAGCAGCATGACCCTGAGGCCTTGGACAATGATTTGCCTCACGCCCAGACTGACCTGAAGCTGACCTCACTGCTGCAGACATGTACTATGACACTACTATGACTGTAGTTGCGTCTGACCCTGACCCTGACTGTACAGGACGATACAACTTCAGACCAAGACCCTGCCCACGAATCACATCTGGCTGGTCAGGCAGCAGATGGACAAACTCTTACCATACTGACAGACTTGACTTGAAGTAGGCAGTCAGTTTGTTATGTTATGTGAAAAAAAAAACAGCAAGCAGAAGTGTTAAAAGTCAAAATCTGCATTCCTCTGTTAATATGTTTCGTTTACTATACTGTTTCTGATGTTTATCCTGCTTATGTGGTTCAGGTTTTGCCACAGGTTGAGATTCTTATGTGCTTTAATTGAGAAATACTCTAATTCTTTTATTCCCGGCAGAATTGTTCTTTGGGTTTCTGTGAGGAACATGTGTAGAGAATGGAAAACTAGGAAAATAGGGATTTTGCACTATTCTTTTACTGTAACACTGTATAGTGTGTTTTGTTTTTCAATTTATATTCTGTTTGCTGATATGTATATCAGTATGCTGAACATTATCTCTTTCCCTGAGTGTATCTGCTAACTTTTCATTAAGTCTATGTGTAGCAGTATGTAAAATTGCAGGTTGGTTGCTTCTTCGGCTGTGTGCGGCTGGGGACAGCCTTCTTTTCACCAGGGGGGAATATGTAACAGTCAGAATATATTAGTAGTACCAAATAGCGCCACAAGGTGGTGTCTCTGTTTTGTTTAAGTGTGTGGGTGAGAAAGTCTATCTATGTCAGTCATCTTGTATGTCGATCACGAGAGGACTCTCCAAAAACTCTAGTGACGAGTTGGTGCAGGATAATAGCCTATTTTTACCTGTCATGTGTGATCAGGATATATAGTGCCGTGCTGACCTGGCTTTGTATGGTCCGTTTAGTAAAACAGAATAAAAGTGCCGTGTGGAAATCCCCAACTTTGTCGTCTGTTTAACTGATGCTAACCAGCTATCTCGGGACTTATTGCCAACTAGCTACACCTCCTGTACCAAGCAGCGTTACAAGCTCACAGTACATGTCAGAGCAAATGAGAATCATGAGGTCGAAGGAACTGCCCAAGGAGCTCAGAGACAGAATTGTGGCAAGGCACAGATCTGGTCAAGGTTACAAAAGAATTTCTGCAGCACTCAAGGTTCCTAAGAGCACAGTGGCCTCCATAATCCTTAAATGGAAGAAGTTTGGGACGACCAGAACTCTTCCTAGACCTGGCCGTCCAGCCAAACTGAGCAATCGTGGGAGAAGAGCCTTGGTGAGAGAGGTAAAGAAGAACCCAAAGATCACTGTGGCTGAGCTCCAGAGATGCAGTAGGGAGATGGGAGAAAGTTCCACAAAGTCAACTATCACTGCAGCCCTCCACCAGTCGGGGCTTTATGGCAGAGTGGCCCGACGGAAGCCTCTCCTCAGTGCAAGACATATGAAAGCCTGCATAGAGTTTGCCAAAAAACACATGAAGGACTCCCAGACTATGAGAAGGAAGATTCTCTGGTCTGATGAGACCAAGATTGAACTTTTTGGCTTTAATTCTAAGCGGTATGTGTGGAGAAAACCAGGCACTGCTCATCACCTGCCCAATACAATCCCAACAGTGAAACATGGTGGTGGCAGCATCATGCTATGGGGGTGTTTTTCAGCTGCAGGGACAGGACGACTGGTTGCAATTGAAGGAAAGATGAATGCGGCCAAGTACAGAGATATCCTGGAAGAAAACCTCTTCCAGAGTGCTCAGGACCTCAGACTGGGCCGAAGGTTCACCTTCCAACAAGACAATGACCCTAAGCACACAGCTAAAATAACAAAGGAGTGGCTTCGGAACAACTCTGTGACCATTCTTGACTGGCCCAGCCAGAGCCCTGACCTAAACCCAATTGAGCATCTCTGGAGAGACCTGAAAATGGCTGTCCACCAACGTTCATCATCCAACCTGACAGAACTGGAGAGGATCTGCAAGGAAGAATGGCAGAGGATCCCCAAATCCAGGTGTGAAAAACTTGTTGCATCATTCCCAAGAAGACTCATGGCTGTACTAGCTCAAAAGGGTGCTTCTACTCAATACTGAGCAAAGGGTCTGAATACTTATGACCATGTGATATTTCAGTTTTTCTTTTTTAATAAATTTGCAAAAATTTGTACATTTCTGTTTTTTTTCTGTCAAGATGGGGTGCTGAGTGTACATTAATGAGAAAAAAAAGAACTTTTTTGATTTTAGCAAATGGCTGCAATGAAACGAAGAGTGAAAAATGTAAAGGGGTCTGAATACTTTCCGTACCCACTGTATATAGTCACTTCTCTGATAGACTTCAACCTTTCAGAGCCGTGGGTAGAAGAAGGCCCAAATAATCTGATCTGCCCACCTTTAAGGTAAATTAGACAGAATGTACAATATTTCGTGTGTTTACAGGCAAAGTTAAGCACAGAGATATTCCTGTTATTCCATTTAATAATAATAATAATAATAATGTAATACAATTTCTTCTCATATTTGAATAATAATACAAATGTGTTTGTTTTTTGTGGAAAACACTGATCAGAAAAACAGTTGATTAAACAGAAAAAAATGACACATCAATACACATCACCCCCGACAAAACCTACAATATTATATTTCACCAGGGAATGCAAATAACGGGGTTGCGTCACAAAGAAAAGTTGATTTACCTGCAGCAGGCAAAGAAGAAATCAAGAAGAAACAAACTATTGGAGAGAATAAAGCAATACATTTTATTTAATGTTGTATTTGTTTATGTAAATGAACTTTCTGCAGAATATTTCTATTTCTAAGTGTCTATACCATTCTGTAAAGCTTTTTTAAAAAAATATAATTTTGGAAATTTGAGCCTTACCCAGGGTCAAGCAAAGGTGTCCCTGTTGTATGCTCTTCATGGCTGTGACACAACGCTCTGTATTCCTATCAGTGACAGCACAGACACAGAAAACTGCCAAGGGGAATAAAACACAGAATACTCATCCTAGTGGTCCTTCCTGGAACATTGTCTTGTTATCTTGGTTGTCATATTTTTAAGCTGGAAGTATAGAGCAGTGGAACTAAGCATTTCAATAATACAGAGTAATAAGTGCAAAAAATGGCATACCAAAACAGCAAAATGGTCAATATAATAATATTGTATTCTTTTTGTAACTCCTAGTCTCCTCTTCCTCTTCCCCTGTGGATCTTATAGTGTTGGATCCTGTCAGTCCCAGCGGAATGCTTTAGTCAGAATTGCAAATGAACCAGTTGGCTATTGACATGTCAGCATAAAAACTAGGTTGTGTTGAATTTTGTCATTTGTTGGTCAGGAAGTATTCAGAAGATATATCAGAGTTTTTTGCAGCTGCTTCTGGTTGATTAGAGCTACTGAGAGCAATTGCTTAAAAAACATCAAAGAGCTGGACATTTTTTTTAGACTACAGGTTAGACTGCATTAGTTTAGACTACAGTATATGACTATAACAGTTCCCTTGGGTTTTTTGCTATGAGCCAATATTTTCACAATAAAAACATAATTTTTCAATCAAAATGTGAAATACTCACAAGTGAAAATCATTTAAGAGCATTACAGAGACACCTCATATTACAAGCTCTTATATGTAACATGATAATGATGAGCAACCTATGGCACTGACTACTATTTTTATTTGTGTATTGATGGAAAGCCAATTTGATACTTACTCATGTCTTTATCTGTTTCATATTAATTTCCTTTTGACAGAAAAGCATTATGCATGATATGTCCTTTCATTCATAGGATTCACCAAACATTTTTACATTTCTTTCAAGGGCCTACAACGTTATACGACAGAGCCACGTTAAGGATACAAGATTAATCTTGTAAATTTCCGAGAATAAAGTTGTATATTTACGAAAATAAAGTCATACATTTACGACAATAATTTCATAAATTTACGAAAATGATGTCGTTATTCATATCAGAGCAGCAGCAGCCTGTTCTCAAATGACAAACATAGAGCATCTTATTATACTTTAGTAAATGTTTCACAAATAAGGAAAGTCTACTTCCTTGTGTAGTCGGTAAAAAACAGTTATTTCAAGAGACGTTTTCACTTCAACTTGCAAGGCCTTGTTTATATATAAAATGATGAACAGGACACAAACTGTCTCTGCACATGAGACACTTTAACAAGGCTAACTGATAACAGACACAAATATTTGTGTTGGTGCTTTACTTATGCAGATATGAAACTACACATGCTTTTGGCACATCATCATCTTCACGTTGTCATAAAATATCAGCACCCTGAAAAGATACTGCAAGAAACTGTGGCTTTTCCGATTAAAGAACCACACTGACTTGGAGGATATGTCTTATTGCAGTCAGTGGAGAATGGGAAACATAGCTCCAACCTTGGCTCCGAATGAAGCAATTGGTGATCTTGCTTACTTATCAATACAAATCAAGACGATTCAAAAGGACATCTTTTGTTATAATGTGGGCTATTCCCTAGTCTTACAAACTACATGTGCCCTAACTTTTCTGATACTAAAAACCGCTGAGTGTGGGCAAGACGGATCAGAACCAGTGATTAGCAAGTCAGGAAGAATAAAATAGAAATGCAGATTTCCTTCTAGAATTCTACAATTCACTTAGCAGACGCTTTTATCCAAAGCTGCGAACAACTAAGTGTAAGAACAACACAAGCAAGGATCTAGAAAGGAGAAAACAACGTCAGAGGACATTTAAGGACTGCAGGTCACTGGAAGTGAAGTCATTTTGAGCCTTTTTTTTAAAGATCCTTATACCTAAAAATTATAACCATTATAACCTTATAACTACATCTGATGTCAAAAATACATTTATGAAGCCATTATCCATATCCCCTCATCATCTATCATATCAATAGAAAGGTTATGTATTGACACAATGGAGCAGGTCTGGGTCATAATGCGTGTTTGGTTCCGTCTCCATCGGAGTTGATAGGTTTTTACTTTATTCAATGTGTGTGCTTCCACTGGCTCCGCTGTGCTGCGTCTCCAGAGCCCTCCGTAGCAGATATACAAGGCCTCAGTTTTTGCCAGATGTCAGCGCATCAATTTACCACGGAACAGATCAATCGAGTAAAAGAGTGGCAGGGATTATATACACAGAAAACCAGGGGATAACGAGACACAGCAGGTCAGGAAAGAACAAGGCGGGAAAGCATGAAAAGCAGCATCTGTAAGAACGACACAAAGATATGTACAAAATAAAACAGGAAATTACAATAATCATGGACAGAAACAAATCATGTTCTTAGGTTACTTTATGGGATGTGTCAGAAATGAGTGAAGATTCTCCTTCAATTAAGTGAACCAAATATTAATTAGTGAATCTGTGCAAAAAAATGTTTTTTTAATCTCTCAATTTCAAATAAGTGAAATTAGTTTTTTTTCTTCTTTAAATAGAATAAAGCTGAAAAAATGTTAACCATTTTTTACAACTATATATTCAATATAAAGGATGTTTTCTAATAAAGTGATACAGTCCACTATGGATACAAACTAAAATTCTGTTAGCTTGTTGTGAGGAGGAATATACTTTACGTCTGAAAATATTTCAGGTGCCCTTTGAAAAGTGTTAAATACAAGTGCATAATACTGATTAATGTATGTTACATGAAAACTAAAAATACTTGCCTTAAGAAATCCTGTGTTCCAATGACTTCACATGGAGTACAGTGCAGTCAGGAGAGTATTCACACATCTCTAGAATGTAAGCAGCGTCTGACATCTTATGGACATAAACTGTAATTACAGTCTGCAGTTTTCAAATCTGCAAAGCGAAGACAGCAATAATTGTTCAAAATGATCAATACGTGCTGTTCCATCAAAGCCAGGCCCTGATAACATCTATAGCCACCACTCTAACTCTCCTGCTTTATCTATCATTACATTTCTGAAGCAATTTGCTTTAAGACTATCATGAATATTTGAGGTCAAAATGTTTATTACTGACTATGAAACACCAGTTTATAGTACTAAAATACTCAGATATTCAAAACCAGATTACTAAGCTATGAGCAAAAGGTCACCTCAGCAGTACCTGGGAAGTGACCTGGAACCTCTCCAGCTACCACACCAACTTCCATATTATGGTCGGCACAGGAACTTGAACAGGTGACTCTTCGGTTCCCAACCCAAGTTCCTACAGAATGAGCTACTGTCGCTCATTACATCTATCCCTATATGACAGCTGTAATGTTCCCAAGCTTTATGAAAAGCTTGGGGGGCATTGTGCTAACCTTCCACATCCTCTGCCAACTCCATCAATGCTGTGTGCTTGTGGGAATAAAATGATAATACCTACATGTCTTTGGCAATTTTTTTTTTGCACTACCCAATATGCAGTTGGGTTAGGGTTTTCCGAGACGCGTGCTGAGCAACTGACCAATAACGACAGAGCGGATCGGCAGACCAATCAGAGCAGACTTGGCCCATGTGGGGTCTAACAGTGGGGGCTCAACAGAGCGTAGCTGACGGACTCAGAGCGTAGAGGGATTTAGGATTAGATCTAAACAATGACTAGCGCACAGTCTTGCATGCATGGCGGAAATGCATTAAGGGCAAATAATATCATAATTTCCATAAATGCCATCAGTTGTTTCAGTAAGTGGTTTTACATTTTCATAGTCATCTTCTTCTTCACTGGTTTCTTCTTCCTCTTGTCTGTTTTCATCTTCAATGAAACAGACCCCCTTGTCCATTCTCAAACGTGAATTTAGGCCTACTTCTTCAGAATCATGATCATCAAATCGCTCTGGTTCCTCATAAATATTGTCCTCATCCACTGTTTCCTCTTTGAGATTCTTCTTGGTTTCCATTGAATTTATATTTACATAATCATCTTCATCATCTTTGCAATACTTTCCCACTCTGACAGCCACTGAAACAGAAGTATTGGAACAATGTGTGAGTTATGAAAGATCTTTGGAGAAAGTGTGTATTCAAAATTGTAAAACTGTGTGTCTTGGTGTGTACATTTGTTGTGGACAAGGGTTGGCTGCTTTGCTCGTTTTCTTCTCCTGCAGACCAGACAGACCACCAGCAGCAGCAGCAGCAGCAGCAGCAGGAAGCCAGCAGCTACTGAGGACACCATCAGCAACAGAGACACTGAGAGGGAAAAGCATTTGATTCATTTATCGTACAAGTACATGTTTAACCTCTCACCATTGCCTAGTGAAATGCACTTCTGATATATAACCCCCAGATGTATCATTTCTTAACCAAGCATCACATGAACAAACCTAATTTGATTTCAGTATAATTGAAAGACTGGAATTCCAACTCACTTTCACCAACCAGCAAGAAATCTGGTCATTTTGATTTATGACCAAACACTGCCAATACTGCACTTAGAAGGTTGTGTTCTTTATGAATATGGGCATTTTAAAGGACCCATATCATGTTTTTTTCTGGTTTTATATGCCCTTTAGTGTGTTTTCCAAGTGTCCTGTGCATGTTTAGGCACATCTATGTGTAAAAATTCAAAGTCCGCAGAAACGCGGCTTCTACGTCCTCCTGTTAGCTGTAGCATTAGCTGCATCTAACGCTCGATTCTAGCCCCCCTCGATAAAAATTTGTCAGTGCGGTGTCATTGTCAGTGTGAGATCACTGATATAAGTCCATTGGTTCGTTGTGGCAAGCCCTGCAGCTCATGTTGAAATTTCCGAGACGCTTGCTGAGCAACTGACCAATAACGACAGAGCGGATCGGCAGACCAATCAGAGCAGACTTGGCCCATGTGGGGTCTAACAGTGTGGGCTCAACAGAGTGTAGCTGACGGACTCAGAGCGGAGAGGGAGCAAGGAGGAGCAGTACATGAAAACAGACACTTTTTTCGGACTTTAGCTATTGTGAACATACAAAAGTAGGTACATAGATTAAATATATGAACCCCAAAAAGGGCATAATATGGGCTCTTTAAGACAATGAGACTGATGATATTTTAAACTGTTTTTAAAGCTTCACTTGATTGTTGTCTACTTGTTGTTATTAGTCTGCTTAGCTTTGCATTTTGTTGCACTGGTGCTTTTACACAAATGAAGGGAGATAAAGAGAGATCACACAGCTCGTAAAGATTTTGTTAAGGTAAAATATAACTTTACTCATCAGTGGTTTTGTTCATGTAAAAATATGAAACTTAATGCTCCCACCTACTTACATTTAATGATAACGCTGATTGGTCCAGTCTCAGTAGAATTAAATCTCCTTGTAGACAGTTCGACCTCATACACACAGCTGTAGTTGCCCTGGTGTTCATAATCAGCTACAGGGAAGTCAAAGGAGGCCGAGTGGTTGACTGTTCGCTTTGCGGCAACAATGGTTGAGTCAGAGGAGATGAGAAAGAACTGGCCCTCAGGATAGCTGCAGTTAATGGAGCAGATGAGGACAAAGCGGTAACCCCTGGTGACCTCTGCACCTTTAGGACGCCAGACCAGCCTTCTGTTAGGAGATGTGAGAGAGATACTCGGCTGTTGCAGTCTCACTGGTTTCAAAAGGGTGAGATGAAGAAAATATAATACAACAGGATTTATTTACAGAAAAGATAAGATCTAGATCCAACAAATCAATCAATCAATCAATCCAAATTTGTATAGCGCCAAACATTATCTCGAGACACTTAACAAAAGAGCAAGTAAAAGACCTTACTCAGATTGTGAGTACATATTAAAGAAAGATAAATCTAAAAACAATAAACATCATTGAAAAAGTAAGTCTAAAAGTAAGTCCAGTCTGCATTGGAGCAAGCCTCGATTTAACATGAACTGGATGACTGAGAACCTACACAGACAACATTGAAAACAAGAAACTAAATAAAATAACTTATATTGTATGTTTAGAAAAGTATTTACAAATCAACATGTTAAAGAGACTGACTTTTGTCCTTACCAGTGATGGAGAGTCTGAGTGGGTCACTTAGGACGGAGGCGAAATTTTGACTTGAAATGCTTTTCTTGTACTGACACTGATAGGATCCATCATTTTCAAAGTCAACTTGAATAATGTTGAACGTAGCAGAGTTGGAACTTGGTGTTTGGGTCACTGTGAATGAGCCTGGGATTTTCTGAAGAGTGAATGTGCCACCTAGAAGCTCAGCTGTGATGGAACAAATGATGACGATATCCTGACCCCAGGTAACCTCACCAACAGGTATCATGGAGATGCTGGGCTTAGGGAGGCTAACTGAAAAAAAACAACAATACTTTGGTGATACAGTTCTCTTAATTTATCTTCAATCTGACAAGAATATGCCTATGTTTTTCAGATCGTATTCAGCATATTCTGGCAAGCCACATTCATCAGAAGTATATAGAATACACCAACTATCAAATAATCATCTGGTTAACTTGTTTTGTATAATCAAACCGGATGTATTGAATAAAGGACAAACTATTTTATATCTTTATAAATAAACAAATACATTTAAAAAGTATGTTTAATCATGGTACTTGCTTTATTTGAGTTTTATTATAACTTTCCTTCCTCTGAGCTTAAAAGTGTTGTTAACTTTGATGATACCACTACCACATATCCTGCTAGTCACAGCAAACTTCTGGCACCAAATGAAGAGGAGCAGGAAAGGGTTTGAACCTCACAAATACACGAAGTGCCAGTGAACACAGCAACCCAAATAACAGACGCTCTGCTATTGCTATAACACATACCGTATATTTGTGGTTAAGAGTTATGTATTTTGTATTTTGTTAATGTACTATAAATTCTGTTGAGTTTCAAGTGAACATTTGTCTTAGTTAGAAATACTCTTGGCATTTATTGAATGTATGTCCCCACTTAATCCAATTGAGGCTGTTGGGCCACGCAGGCTTAGGACAGTCAAACAATGGACTTGGGCCTGCACCTCTGTAAAAGCCTCATTTGAGTTATTCACTGAGATCACAAAGAGGCCTAAAAGGACTCTTAATCCCAGAATCCCCTGCGGTACTTCACACCTACGCGTGAAGTAAGGGGGGGACCGGAACCTCTCTCTCCTCATTGGAGGGGACCTGAGGTAGACCCCCCATGGAGCAGGCCAGGCTACAAAGCTCCAAGACTTCCATTGTTTTTCGTCTTTCCACGCGCTGACTTCTGGTGCTCGGAGACCCAAGCTTATCTCCTGTTTCCTGCAACAATCTTCCTTTGTTTTAAATTTTTGGCGCGCAGGTAATCCGCGGCCGGCAGTGTTCTAAATTCCGAGCTCGGATTGTCCAGTGAACGCATCTCAGTTTCTCGGAGAGCGTCAGATTATAACAGATTATCAGAAAGATAATGGTCTTATTCCGTCCTGCAACGAAAGGACATCAACGGACATCTTTCCACTCGACGGAGAACCAACGAAGCCGCTCTCGCCGTAAGGGACCCTCGCCGCCATCAGACGCCTCTGCCCCAGGACGGACAGAAGATCTGCTCCATCGCCGGACTCTTTTCCTCTCACCAATCGCGGCCAAAGCGATTCACAAGTGAGGCTTAATTAGGTCTGGGCAGAATTAGCTTTAGAGAGTGTTTTTAACAATTGTTGATCAAAGCAGAAACTGTAATTTTTATCTTTGTTGGACCGCTGCGTCCTGAGTTTTAACTGTTAAAACTCTTGTTGTTGTTTCGGACCGCTGCGTCCTATATGTGTTTAGCGTAACAGCGTTATAACCGGGTATTACTCTTCTGATCAGAAAGGCCAGTGTAAGCTGTATTAACTTGAATCCGGCTATTGGTTTGTTTCTGTGAATGAAGGGAATTACTCCGAGTTGTGACGCGGGAGTCGGACTGTGATCCGGCCTCTTCAGGCACGCATTTCTCTTTTATTCTCTTTTATCCTCTTTTATTTCCCCTTCTACGAACATACACACACACATATTCCTGTGTAAACGTACATCTGTAGACCAACTCCACCACCGCGCCATTACGCACAGAGATCTATACACTCGCGGCTATCCAGACGCCTCAGAGACACCGATCGTGTAGGGCCGAACTCGGTCTCTTTTAGACCTTAAGGCCACATTTAGGCCTTTGTTAGGTGTGCGCCATTGGAAGGGCGACCACGTGGGACGAAGTAATCTCCCCCCCCCTTTTCTCTCCCTTTCATCCACACACGCACGCACCCAGGTCTTTGTTCGGTTTGCGCCATCGAGAACGACCACGTGGGTACGAAGCCATCTTCCCCCCCTTTTTTCTTCCCCTCTCTCTCACACACACACACACACACACACACACACACACACTACATTCACACCCCTTCCACAAGCCTTTGCTTGATAATGTTTGTTGCTTAGACTAGTTTATAATAGTTATTTGCTTAATTAAGTTCATTGATTTTGGATTGATGTTGCTTTGTTTAAATAAATTCTGTTTTAATTTAAGAGAGCAGTTGTTTGTGATTACTGGTGTATTTGCATTGTGATATAAGCTGGGTGCGAAGGCTTTGTGTACGGATTTCATGCCTTCAATTTATTAAATATAGTTATTCATTATTAATAATATTAGTAATTAAATAACTAATTTGAGACTGATTTGAGTGATATTTTGGTTATATTTACCTGATTACAGGTTGGTGCCCCAAAACGAGATTAAACATAGTTTAATGATATTTTATTTATATTATTAATAATTAAGTATAATTATTAAAGAATATAACCAAAGTTGACTTGATACAACCCCAACAATGCATTGAAGTTGTGTGTGAAATGTGATAAGAAGTAATTTTTACATTAATGGTGGTAAATGGACTTGAGACTCGCAAAGTCTTTCTAGTCTTCTGACAACTCAAAGCACTTTTACACTGCAGGGGCTGTATTCACAAAATCTCTTAAGTACTAAGAGTTGCTCCTTGTGACAGAATTCTTAGAACGTTTTTAGAATTGTGACATTTCCTAAGAATTTTCCCTCAAAGTTAAGACTAGATCCTTGTTAAAAAAGGAAAGTTATTCACGCAGTGTCTTAGCCCTTAAGAGAGCTCCTAAGGCTACAAACTGTTAAGGAGTAGTGAGGAGGACTTTTAACAGGTTTAAGAGTTTTTTCAAGCAGAGGAGAAAATGGAAACATGTTCTGCAAACACTCCATGAAGAATATTCGTTTTCAATCATTGTTTGGCCGAAGAGACAAAAATGATATGTGCAGACATTTAATAAATCCATCTGTGACTTCTTTCAGTGCAAAGTGAGACATGTATGTTGAGTTTGTCTACATGTGGTTACCTCCACAGGTGCATCCAATCACTAATTAAGGACCTTCACATGTTGATATAACAATCAGCATGTAAAGAGGCTGCTGCACAAGTGGGCATGTGATTTCAAACATTTTGTAGGCTATATATTTTTAAAGTATATTTATCCCACGGAGATGTTCATTTCTTAGTGATCATAATTACACAATGGGCCCAATCGATTTCACTGTCTATGGCCATTATCACTAAGACAGCACAGTTTTTTCTCCATTTATTAGATCAACCAATGACAGCTTCTGAAAGAAATGTGTCATATCTAGCAACGGAGTCAACCACGCCTCCTCATTAAGACAAAAGTTTCCGTCTCTTCCTTGCCCAGAGTTGCTCTGAGAATGTTCCTAAATCATTCCTAGGCTAAAATTCCTTGCTTTGAGTTTTTAGTGTAAGTTAGGAGCTCTCTGAGAGGATTCTCAGAATGTTTGTGAATACAGGCGCAGAACTCCCGGTAGAGAGATGACCAAATCAGCCACTGAGCCATAGTCGTCCTTGAAATAAATGTAAGCAATATTAATAATAATAATGAATGAGAAAGTAAACCTATGAGTAAAAAGCAGCTTCTCTTTGATGATAACACTGCATTACCATGAATGATTACACTGACTTTATCTTTGTTGAGTTGATGAGACTCAGCATTTTCACAACTTCATCAATATTTAAAATATTAAAAACTATGCTCACCAGAACAGATCACACCAGCATCCTCATTGTGTTGACAGTTGTGTTCCCCCATTTCTTTGGACTGACACTCAGTTAGAAAACGTTCACTTCCTGAACAGGCCACATCATCCAGCAAGATTGGGTCAGCTCCTTCACCAAAACTGGCACTTCCAGGAGCACTCAGTGCCTTCCCACAGTTCAGCTGTCTGCACACCACCTCAGCATCTCTTAAGTCCCAGTCATCATCACATACTGTTCCCCAGGTACTGCCATTGAAGAGTTCAACTCTTCCAGAGCACTGAGTAGATCCAGCTAATCTGATCTGAGTACCTGAGAATTGATCACAGTAGAAAAAACATTTCTGGATGAAACATGCCTTTCTTTTCTTACTGGGTCATTTGAAAAACTGATTTGAAGATAAATGCAGAAAAACATTTTGATTTATTTAGAAATATTGTATCAACAAATCACGATTATCATTCTGCTCTTAAATTTAAAGAGCATGCGGCAGTGTGTGGTTACCAGCTTTTACATGTGAAAAAGTTCCTACAGGCTGCACAGACCCACAATGACAAAAACAGGTTGATTTCAAAAAGCACACTTGATTTTTCAAAACATTTGTTACAAAAAGGTTCTTACCTGAGCAGACCACGCCAGCATCCTCACTGTGTTCACAGTTGTGTTTTCCCATTTCTCTGGATTGACACTCAGTTAAAGAACGTTCACTTCCTGAACAGGCCACATCATCCAGCAAGATTGGGTCAGCTCCTTCACCAAAACTGGCACTTCCAGGAGCACTCAGTGCCTTCCCACAGCTCAGCTGTCTGCACACCACCTCAGCATCTCTTAAGTCCCAGTCATCATCACATACTGTTCCCCAGGTACTGCCATTGAAGAGTTCAACTCTTCCAGAGCACTGAGTAGATCCAGCTAATCTGATCTGAACTCCTAAATAAAACACATAGAAGAACAAGCACACAAAAAACATTTTTTTTGTCATTTCAAAAACTGCTTCTGAAAGACACCTTTGACAGATGTTATTTAAATGGTAAATGGACTTGAGTTTATATAGCACTTCTCTAGTCTTCAGACTACTCAAAGTATTTTTACTCTGCATGTCACACCCACCCATTCACACACTGATGGTAGTGGTTGCTATGTAGTATCATCCATCAGAAGTAACTAATCCATTCATATACTGCCACTGAAGCAGCAGGAGCAATGCAGGGTTAAGTGTCTTGCCCACAGACACATCGGACATGTTGCCCAGCTGGGGATCGAACCCTCAACCTTCTGGTTGAAAGACGACTACTCTACCAACTGAACTGGAAAGGCTACACATACACAGATTCAAACAAGAGAAAGTACAATTTTGCCTTGTAAGTCTGAATCAGCGTTCTCGTGCTCGGCCAACGACTCCAACTGAGCCACAACCCACCAAAACATTGTTCTAATTCCAGCTAAACTAGCCCAATTGATCTGATCTGACCACCCTTCAGGCACATAAGACTTAATACAGGCTATGGTATCGTTGTGGAAATGAAGCAATTTTAGAAAATTGGACTGACCTGCAGCAGGCAAAGAAGAGGTCCAGAGTACAGAGACTATAGAAGAGAAGAAAGTTACAATAAGTGCAGAAATATAAATGTCCTTTTTCCATCTAACTCTCTCTGTATATTTGAATTAATTGAGTATAATAAAGTATAATGTCATAACCATTCTGTTAACCTGCTTTCAAATGTTGAATCTTGGAACATTCTTCTTACCCAGGGTCAAGTAAAGGTTTTTCTGTTGTATGCTCCTCATGGCTGATGCATAGGGTGCTTGTATCATTATCGGTGAAAGGACAGACCGAAAAATGACTTTAAAAAAGCCTGCAGACGCATTTAACCCTGCTTGTCTTTTTTCTGAAATACTTCCTCTTTACAGTGCTGATGTTTTTTTTAAACAAAAAAGTTCAGCAGCACTCAGCAGAACTCAGCTGCTTAAATTGGAACCGCTGCTGCACAGAGACAGCAAAGTTGTCACAAAAAAAATATTTTCAGTTCTAGGGCTTAATTTTATAAGCATGCTGTTGTGAGGGTTGTAGATAAACCAATTGGTCTTTCTCAGCTCTGGTGGGGCTATCCTTGTTAAGTAATGTATTAAATTCATGTTAGGGTATTCAGTTACCACTTCCTGTTTTTACTTGGTTATTTTTGTCACTTGGTCCCTTGTGTGCAGCCTTTCTTCCTTCTCTGGCTTTAACCCCCGGAGCCATAATCTCTGCATTTCAAGTCTCTTATCTCCTTGTTCTTCTTAAGAGTTTGTATTTTATAGTCCTGGTCTAAAAAAACTGTTTGAAATATGTATTAAGTACGAAAGCATTAGCTGATGCTGCCATGACAAACACACTTCAAGTGATAAAAGGACATCCCATGTGTCTATAGTGACATATTGTCTTGTTAGTTTTCACCTTGCATAGGTATCTCCGTTCATCTTTGGTAGGACGGACTAAAGACACAAGCCTTGAGAGTGGGCAGGAGGCATGGATGCAACTTAAGAGACCTGGGTCCTTTCCGAATAGCCACAGATCAGTAGGATGTGCAAACTTTTCAGTAGGGAGTTTCAGTAGACTGAACCCTTGTGGTCATTCAGTGGTCATTTTTTGGGTCCACCTCAGTAGACTGAACATTTCAGCATGGATACTAACTTCCGGGTTTTATGCGTATGGATTGGATACATCGTTTCAGGAAATGAATTGTATTTTACCACCCACAATGCTGTGTGAAAATAAACATAAAATGTCACTTTACGTGCGCCTCCAAATCAAAACAAACGAGCGTGGATTAATTGAATCAATTTTTAATCTAGAGTTAAAGTCCTGACTGAAATCACTACTTTTAATAAACAACAAAAAATGTAACAAATGTATGAATTCAGTAGACAGTACCTACTATATGTGCTGTATACATTTATTATCTGCACAGTAGGCAGATATTTGTTCCTTCGTCGTCTGATTCATTCAGTAAAGTAAAATAAACCAATAAAGACACATACATAAATATGGAAATCATTATTTAAATAGAGGTCTCAGGGGAAAAGGGTTTATAATAATTCAGACATTTGTTATATTTTTTGTTGTTAATTAAAAGTAGCAAAAATTTATTAAATTAATCCACGCTAGTTTGTTTTGATTATGAGGCACACGTGAAGTGAACAATTTACGTTTATTTTCGCACAGCATTGTGGGTGGTGAAATACAATTCTTTTCCTGAAAGGATGCATCCGATCCATACTGCATGAAACCCGGAAGTTAGTATCCATGCTGAAATGTTCAGTATACTGAGGTGGACCCAAAATATGCATACTGAATGACCACGAAAGTTCAGTCTACTGAAACTCCATACTGAGAAGTACTGCATACTGAACTGTGGCTATTCGGGAAAGGACCAATGTCTTAACCTCTTTCTTTTCCAATTCTCCGTGTGTTGATGTTTCCGATTGGCTCTGAATCGATTAGTGAGAAAAAACCTCACTCAGTCATTGTTTATATTGTTTAAATTGATCACATTCAAGTAATGAATCCTGAACAATATTATATCAAAAGGTTAGTGATATGGTCTGTTTGAGTAAAACTAGAAAAATATTGGCTGATTCTTTTTTCTAACTGTTTCTTTTTTTTGCATTTTGTTGATGGTTGTCAATTTTTAGCAAAACCTGTGTTACTGTTCTTTAAAGAGCTGTCATAGTAGACAGGATTCATTTTTGGAGTCCTTCAACCAAAATTCCAGATTTTCCAGCAGCTTTAAAGTGAATGGAACACAAGTTCAAGGACAAGTGTCAATACATCTCAAAAGATACATTTAAAAAAGTGATCTAAATGGATTCTGAATCTTTAAACACTTAAGAAAGGAATCTAGATCTTAGGAATCCAGGCAAATTTATTCTAGATCTGACAAATTCATAACAAGGAGCAGTATGAGATGTTGATGTTGATAAAACCGTCTTAGAGAAAATACTTCCTTAATAACAATTGGCATTTTCTCAGGCTGTGAATTTAATGGCAGTTGAATCATAGCTTAAATTAGCGTCTTGTGTTCATAAACACCTCAAACATAAAATGTCTTAAAACACAAGTCCAAAACCAAAGTTGTGTCTTGATACTTCTTCTTTATACTTCCTCTATATGAATTATACTTCCTCAAATACTCAAAGCTCTTTAGGGAGGTGCTCTAACCACATTGCCTAGAAGTATCTTGAACGTATCTTTAGTCAACTTCAGTTCATATTCACAGTGTCTATCTACAGTTATTTAGCTGTTTAAAAATGAACATGAATTAGTTTTCTTTGCATTGTTCACACTCAACTGAATATTTTTGTTATCTTAAAGGCTTTTTATGCGATTTTTCACACTTAAATGTAATATAAATCAAGTATATCCTGTGAAAATAACTGTGAGTAATGACTGTCTACAATGGGTGTAACACCCGAGTCCCACTGTCTGTGATGTTTTCAGAGTTTTCAGAGTCCTATCTTCAGTTTGTTTACATTACATTACATTTAATTGAGGGACTAGAGAAAAGAAGCATACCATACTGTACTCACTGCTTAGCTGTGTTTCTAGATCACGCATATCATTTCAGGTATATTTACATGCAGTGTGACGATACGAGCATAGTAAAGATCGCTAGCATTAGCATGCTAACACAACAATGCAGCGCGAGTAGTTTTGGTTTCATGCTGGTGCTCAAGGGCGACATCTGCTAGATCAAAAAAATCACATATAAAGCCTTTAACCACTTGTCATTCTCTGCAAATACAAGACGTGAGAATATGGAAGACAGGAAGTTTGGAGAAATTTTGTATACAATAAAAACAGTTCACTTTTATTAAAACACAGTCAGATAAACAGTAGTATTCATTTTTTTACAAATTGAAATGGTGTTATGATTTTCTAGATTTAAAGCAAAATTATGTGGATAGAATGAATAAGGAGGAGAACAAGGTAATATATCTTAGGCATAATGTAACACGTGTCTTCACTGTCCACTTGATCGGTTCACACTTTAAGATTTTAATTGTTTTTATACTTGATAAAACTGTTTGCCATGGGTCAAAGGTCCAGTACTTTTGCCATTTTAAATCATTCTGACACCTAAAGGTCTAGATAAATATCCTCCTGTTTTTCATAGATGTCTAAAGTTGGTTCATTAAATGGCTGGATTACACTGTCATAGTAATCTTCAACTTCACTGGTTTCTTCTTGTCGTTCTTCTCTTTCTTGTCTGAAAAAGACTTCGTTGGTCTTTCTCAAGATTGAATCTGGGGCCACTTCATCACAATCATGGCCCTTGTATCTCTCTGGCTCCTCATATATATTCTCTTCTTCCACTCTCACCGTTTCCTCTTTCAGATTCTTCTCGGTGTCAACTGAACAAACATTCACATAGTCCTCTCTATCATCTTCATGACAACTCCCCACTCTGGCAGCCACTGAAACAGAAGAATTTGAAACACATGTCAGTACTTATGGCTGAACTCTTGAGAAAGTGTGTATTTAAAATGTAGAAAATATGTGGCTTGATGAGCACATTGAGTTTGGACCAGGGTTCCTGGCTGCTTGGCTTTTCGTCCTCTTTTGCAGAGCAGACAGATCACCAAAAGCACTACAAACAGCAACAGGAGGATCCCAGCAGTTACTGAGGACACCAGAGGCACATTATAGAGAGGCACTAGGAAAGAGAACATTTGATTAGTTTATCATACATAAATGTTTTATTATTTCTAAACCACATACGGCTAAAATAGTGTGCTTTAAGTTTAAACCCAAGACTTAGATATAAGGGTGAGGGTATTCATTCATATGCTAAACCAGTGGAAAAAAATGTAAGCTTCCATCCACTTCAGCTTTACCCCAACGACATCTGCTGGAAACTAGGTTACTATGATTCATGACCAAAACATTTTTACAGACCAATTAGGTTTTGTCCAACTTAATATGCTGCCACCTTGACTTACCATTAAACCAGGGCTGCAAGCATACTGTACACATACACACCTCTGAAAATGGTCCAAATTGCTGCAGCACAGCTGGTCTTTAATCAGCCTAAACGAGTTTATGGTACTCTATTTAATAACTAACATTGCTGAGCGGAGCCATTGCTATAAAGAAAGAGGATGGAACAATTTTGAAGTCATTAGGAAGTTATTAGTTGTTGGTAAATGGTAAATGGACTTGAGCTTCGTTTGAGAAGGGTTTTTTTTCTCCAGAAATGTATTTTTATTTAACCAGCCAGTAACTTTGATTTTTTTAGTTAAGTTTTTGCCCTGTTTGGGTCTTTATCTAATTTGTATAAAGGCTTATCTGCCTTTTCAGCGGAAACAAAGGGAGATATTGCACATCATAAAATATTTTGTTATGACACTTTTACCAATATTGCACAGTGTACACTTTAATTGGTAATTAAAAAATTAAAAAATGCTAAGCTTAATTCTACTCACATTTAATAACAACCCTGATTGCTCCTGTTTCAGTAGAATTAAATCTCCTTGTAGACAGTTCGACCTCATACACACAGCTGTAGTTGCCCTGGTGTTTATACTCAGCTACAGGGAAGTCAAAGGAGGCCGAGTGGTTGATTGCAGGCTTGGTGGCAACAATGGTTGAGTCAGAGGAGATGAGAAAGAATTGGCCCTCAGAGTAGCTGCTGTTAATGGAGCAGATGAAGATAAATCTGTAACCCCTGGTGACCTCTGCACCTTCAGGACTCCAGACCAGCCCTCTGTTAGGAGATGTGAGAGAGATACTCGGCTGTTGCAGTCTCACTGGATTCGAAAGGGATAATACAAAGAACAATAAGACAACAGGATTTTAAAAACAGGTCAGGATAAGGTGCAGATTCCTGATAAAGCCCCATACACAATCAAGCACATTAAGGCTGTGAATTTATTGGTAGTTGAAATGGAGACAAAACTAGCTTCTTGTGAAGTTCACACAAAATTGTGTCTTGATACTTCTTGTTTATACTTCCTCATTATGCATTATGCTTCCTCAAATACTTTAAGATGTGAAGCTCTTTTGGGAGGTGCTCTAATAACTTATTATCTTTATCACATAGTGTTCTACTGCAAAGACAAAAACATGTTTTAAAGAAAGTTTAGACACTATCATATCAATTTTAACCTTTTTAACAAACCATCAATACAAGAATGACCATGTTGACTTTTGTGTTATATTTTAAAATGATCAATATTTGTTTAACTTACCAGCGATAGAGAGACTCACAGTGTCACTTCGGGGGGACCTAAAGACTTGACCAGAGACACTTTTCTTGAACTGACACGCGTACAATCCCTCATCATCGAAGCTCATTCTATGGATATTGAAGGTGACAGAATTTGTATTTGGCCGTTCGGTCATTTTGGAATGACCTGGGATCTTCCTCAAGTAAAACGTTCCATCATAAATCCGAGTCGAGATTGAACAAGTGATGTTGACACTCTGATCCAAGTTTAGCTCCCCAACAGGATTCATGGAGATGGTTGGCTTTGTGAGGCTTTCTGAAATAAATAATACAATACTTACATTGTGATACAATACTCAGTGATATCTGACAGTTATCAGCCTTTGTTTTTCAGATCTCATTATGCATATGGTAAGACATATGAAGAATCATTGATAAAATATGGGAACGCTAACTATGAAATGATCATCTGCTTACATGACTTGTTTTGTATACTCAACCCTCTCTATATTGGATATATTTATTTAAAATGCAATAACGCTTTAAATGTTTAACTAGACATTGTACAGTATGTTAAAGGCTGGATTCGTCTTAGTGGTCATGCAGGCATGGACGGGCAGTCTTGCATTTCAGTTAAATGCCAAATGAGATTTTTTTCCACCAGCTTTGTGAGAAGAAAATGTGTTGGTGGATAGTTAATTATTATCAAAATTGTAGATTAGCTTTATCGACATTCAACAACTCCTAGCTCCGACTGCCAAAAGGTATCAGGTTGTGTAATGTCAGAGGAGAGAATCAAAACAAATGTAATAGATAATAAAGGACACAAAAGCGTGAGGTTGTTTCAACAAAGTAAATGAGAAAACTAAAATCAAAGTTGAGGCTTTTGCTGCTTTGTGTTCAAAAAAAGGTAGTTAATCATTTCAAATAGATTTATTTTATTTATGTATTGATAGCTCTAAACTGCTGTAAATCCTGTGGTGTCAATCAAGTTCTGTTGACATGCAATTGTCTTGGTTAATACACAACATACATCCACAACAAAACCTGTTGAGGTCTTTTAGTTATTTCTTTTCTCCGATGATAATCCTGTAATTATGATAACTTTTATTACAACATAAATCAGACAAGAGATTGAAAACTCACCAGAACAGATCACACCAGCGTCCTCATTGTGATTACAGTCGTGTCTTCCCATTTCTCTGGCCAGACACTCGATAAGAGAAGTTTCCCTTCCTGAACAGTCCACCTCATCAAGCAAAATTTGACCAGTTCCTTCACCAAAAAAGGCCTCATGGGGAGCACTCAGTGCTGTCCCACAGTTCAGCTGTCTGCACACCACATCAGCTTCACTTAAATCCCACTTATCATCACACACTGTTCCCCAATAACCACTGTGCAAGATTTCAACTCTTCCAGAGCAATGAGTAGACCCAGACCCAGTTAATCTGATTGAAGAACCTAGGAATTCAACACAGAGGGAAACAAATCATTGCTGCAATTGTTTTCTCTAAGATTGTATCTGTTTTATTATATCGTCTTTTTAAAGACACGTGGCAAAAATTCATGAATAAATAACAAAATATTTATCAACATTTCCCTCGTATTATTCTGCTCTTCATTTGATAAAGCATGCTGCATTTTTGTTATTACCAGTTTTACATGTGAAATGATTCTACAAGCTTCCAAATCAATACAAATAGGTTTGTTGAGTGACAAAAAAGGATACATTATTTTCCTAGTATTATTATTTTTTTTTTACTTTTACTTTTCTCAACTGAGGAAACACAAGAGTCCCAATAGTGTCTGGAGTCCTGTGCTGACCTTAGAAAACCAAGTTTTCACATCACCTCAGCAACGTTTAAGTAACAGATATCAACATATATATAGTCACTTCTCTGATAGACTTCAACCTTTCAGAGCCGTGGGTAGAAGAAGGCCCAAATAATCTGATCTGCCCACCTTTAAGGTAAATTAGACAGAATGTACAATATTTAGTGTGTTTACAGGCAAAGTTAAGCACAGAGATATTCCTGTTATTCCATTTAAAAATAATAATAATAATGTAATACAATTTCTTCTCATATTTGAATAATAATACAAATGTGTTTGTTTTTTGTGGAAAACACTGATCAGAAAAACAGTTGATTAAACAGAAAAAAATGACACATCAATACACATCACCCCCGACAAAACCTACAATATTATATTTCACCAGGGAATGCAAATAAAGGGTTGCATCACAAAGAAAAGTTGATTTACCTGCAGCAGGCAAAGAAGAAATCAAGAAGAAACAAACTATTGGAGAGAATAAAGCAATACATTTTATTTAATGTTGTATTTGTTTATATAAATGAACTTTCTGCAGAATATTTCTATTTCTAAGTGTCTATACCATTCTGTAAAGCTTTTTTCAAAGAATATAATTTTGGAAATTTCAGCCTTACCCAGGGTCAAGCAAAGGTGTCTCTGTTGTATGCTCTTCATGGCTGACACACAACGCTCTGTAATAAAACACAGAATACTCATCCTAGTGGTCCTTCCTGGAACATTGTCTTGTTATCTTGGTTGTCATATTTTTAAGCTGGAAGTATAGAGCAGTGGAACTAAGCATTTCAATAATACAGAGTAATAAGTGCAAAAAATGGCATACCAAAACAGCAAAATGGTCAATATAATAATATTGTATTCTTTTTGTCTCCTCTTCCTCTTCCCCTGTGGATCTTATAGTGTTGGATCCTGTCAGTCCCAGCGGAATGCTTTAGTCAGAATTGCAAATGAACCAGTTGGCTATTGACATGTCAGCATAAAAACTAGGTTGTGTTGAATTCTGTCGTTTGTTGGTCAGGAAGTGTTCAGAAGATATATCAGAGTTTTTTGCAGCTGCTTCTGGTTGATTAGAGCTACTGAGAGCAATTGCTTAAAAAACACCAAAGAGCTGGACATTTCTTTTAGACTACAGTTTAGACTGCATTAGTTTAGACTACAGTATATGACTATAACAGTTCCCTTGGGTTTTTTGCTATGAGCCAATATTTTCACAATAAAAACATAATTTTTCAATCAAAATGTGAAATACTCACAAGTGAAAATCATTTAAGAGCATTACAGAGACACCTCATATTACAAGCTCTTATATGTAACATGATAATGATGAGCAACCTATGGCACTGACTACTATTTTTATTTGTGTATTGATGGAAAGCCAATTTGATACTTACTCATGTCTTTATCTGTTTCATATTAATTTCCTTTTGACAGAAAAGCATTATGCATGATATGTCCTTTCATTCACAGGATTCACCAAACATTTTTACATTTCTTTCAAGGGCCTACTAAAAAACAGTTATTTCAAGAGAAGTTTTCACTTCAACTTGCAAGGCCTTGTTTATATATAAAATGATGAACAGGACACAAACTGTCTCTGCACATGAGACACTTTAACAAGGCTAACTGATAACAGACACAAATAGTTGTGTTGGTGCTTTACTTATGCAGATATGAAACTACACATGCTTTTGGCACATCATCATCTTCACATTGTCATAAAATATCAGCACCCTGAAAAGATACTGCAAGAAACTGTGGCTTTTCCGATTAAAGAACCACACTGACTTGGAGGATATGTCTTATTGCAGTCAATGGAGAATGGGAAACATAGCTCCAACCTTGGCTCCGAATGAAGCAATTGGTGATCTTGCTTACTTATCAATACGAATCAAGACGATTCAAAAGGACATCTTTTGTTATAATGTGGGCTATTCCCTAGTCTTACAAACTACATGTGCCCTAACTTTTCTGATACTAAAAACCGCTGAGTGTGGGCAAGACGGATCAGAACCAGTGATTAGCAAGTCAGGAAGAATAAAATAGAAATGCAGATTTCCTTCTAGAATTCTACAATTCACTTAGCAGATGCTTTTATCCAAAGCTGCGAACAACTAAGTGTAAGAACAACACAAGCAAGGATCTAGAAAGGAGAAAACAACGTCAGAGGACATTTAAGGACTGCAGGTCACTGGAAGTGAAGTCATTTTGAGCCTTTTTTTTAAAGATCCTTATACCTAAAAATTATAACCATTATAACCTTATAACTACATCTGATGTCAAAAATACATTTATGAAGCCATTATCCATATCCCCTCATCATCTATCATATCAACAGAAAGGTTATGTATTGACACAATGGAGCAGGTCTGGGTCATAATGCGTGTTTGGTTCCGTCTCCATCGGAGTTGATAGGTTTTTACTTTATTCAATGTGTGTGCTTCCACTGGCTCCGCTGTGCTGCGTCTCCAGAGCCCTCTGTAGCAGATATACAAGGCCTCAGTTTTTGCCAGATGTCAGCGCATCAATTTACCACGAACAGATCAATCGAGTAAAAGAGTGGCAGGGATTATATACACAGAAAACCAGGGGATAACGAGACACAGCAGGTCAGGAAAGAACAATGCGGGAAAGCATGAGAAGCAGCATCTGTAAGAACGACACAAAGATATGTACAAAATAAAACAGGAAATTACAATAATCATGGACAGAAACAAATCATGTTCTTAGGTTACTTTATGGGATGTGTCAGAAATGAGTGAAGATTCTCCTTCAATTAAGTGAACCAAATATTAATTAGTGAATCTGTGCAAGAAATGTTTTTTTAATCTCTCAATTTCAAATAAGTGAAATTAGTTTTTTTTCTTCTTTAAATAGAATAAAGCTGAAAAAATGTTAACCATTTTTTTACAACTATATATTCAATATAAAGGGTGTTTTCTAAAAAAGTGATACAGTCCACTATGGATACAAACTAAAATTCTGTTAGCTTGTTGTGAGGAGGAATATACTTTACGTTTGAAAATATTTCAGGTGCCCTTTGAAAAGTGTTAAATACAAGTGCATAATACTGATTAATGTATCTCTTTTACATGAAAACTAAAAATACCTGCCTTAAGAAATCCTTTGTTCCAATGACTTCACATAGAGTACAGTGCAGTCAGGAGAGTATTCACACATCTCTAGAATGTAAGCAGCGTCTGACATCTTATGGACATAAACTGTAATTACAGTCTGCAGTTTTCAAATCTGCAAAGCGAAGACAGCAATAATTGTTCAAAATGATCAATACGTGCTGTTCCATCAAAGCCAGGCCCTGATAACATCTATAGCCACCACTCTAACTCTCCTGCTTTATCTATCATTACATTTCTGAAGCAATTTGCTTTAAGACTATCATGAATATTTGAGGTCAAAATGTTTATTACTGACTATGAAACACCAGTTTATAGTACTAAAATACTCAGATATTCAAAACCAATACAAAAGTACAGATTACTAAGCTATGAGCAAAAGGTCACCTCAGCAGTACCTGGGAAGTGACCTGGAACCTCTCCAGCTACCACACCAACTTCCATATTATGGTCGGCACAGGAACTTGAACAGGTGACTCTTCGGTTCCCAACCCAAGTTCCTACAGAATGAGCTACTGTCGCTCATTACATCTATCCCTATATGACAGCTGTAATGTTCCCAAGCTTTATGAAAAGCTTGGGGGGCATTGTGCTAACCTTCCACATCCTCTGCCAACTCCATCAATGCTGTGTGCTTGTGGGAATAAAATGATAATACCTACATGTCTTTGGCAATTTTTTTTTTGCACTACCCAATATGCAGTTGGGTTAGGGTTTTCCGAGACGCGTACTGAGCAACTGACCAATAACGACAGAGTGGATCGACAGACCAATCAGAGCAGACTTGGCCCACGTGGGGTCTAACAGTGTGGGCTCAACAGAGCGTAGCTGACGGACTCAAAGCGTAGAGGGAGCAAGGAGGAGCAGTACATGAAAACAGACACTTTTTTCGGACTTTAGCTATTGTGAACGTACAAAAGTACGTAGTACATAGATTAAATATATGAACCCCAAAAAAGGGCATAATATGGGCTCTTTAATGAACACAGTCTTATGTAACCTTGATGTGTAAAGCCTCCCACGATCTTGATGATAAACAACCTCTAATTATGGAAGAGAAACTTCTTCTCTTATGAAGAATGTATGATAAAAACTGCTGAGTTGTTTCTGTGTGTATAAATATGTGTTCTTGAGTCCTATGAACTACTCTCACAGACTACTCTGTACTCTGTGAGATTTGCACCTTAATAAAGAAACATCTGAATTTCTAACAATAATGCTTTGAAGATCATTTGATATTTTATGACAAAATGAAAGTCATAAATGTACAAAATAACTTTCAAAATGCAATGTATCCTGCTAAAAAAAAAAAGATTTAGGATTAGATCTAAACAATGACTAGCGCACAGTCTTGCATGCATGGCGGAAATGCATTAAGGACAAATAATATCATAATTTCCATAAATGCCATCAGTTGTTTCAGTAAGTGGTTTTACATTTTCATAGTCATCTTCTTCTTCACTGGTTTCTTCTTCCTCTTGTCTGTTTTCATCTTCATTGAAACAGACCCCCTTGTCCTTTCTCAAACGTGAATTTAGGCCTACTTCTTCAGAATCATGATCATCAAATCGCTCTGGTTCCTCATAAATATTGTCCTCATCCACTGTTTCCTCTTTGAGATTCTTCTTGGTTTCCATTGAATTTATATTTACATAATCATCTTCATCATCTTTGCAATACTTTCCCACTCTGACAGCCACTGAAACAGAAGTATTGGAACAATGTGTGAGTTATGAAAGATCTTTGGAGAAAGTGTGTATTCAAAATTGTAAAACTGTGTGTCTTGGTGTGTACATTTGTTGTGGACAAGGGTTGGCTGCTTTGCTCGTTTTCTTCTCCTGCAGACCAGACAGACCACCACCAGCAGCAGCAGCAGCAGCAGCAGCAGCAGCAGGAAGCCAGCAGCTACTGAGGACACCATCAGCAACAGAGACACTGAGAGGGAAAAGCATTTGATTCATTTATCGTACAAGTACATGTTTAACCTCTCACCATTGCCTAGTCAAATGCACTTCTGATATATAACCCCCAGATGTATCATTTCTTAACCAAGCATCACATGAACAAACCTAATTTGATTTCAGTATAATTGAAAGACTGGAATTCCAACTCACTCTCACCAACCAGCAAGAAATCTGGTCATTTTGATTTATGACCAAACACTGCCAATACTGCACTTAGAAGGTTGTGTTCTTTATGAATATGGGCATTTTAAAGGACCCATATCATGCTTTTTTCTGGTTTTATATGCCCTTTAGTGTGTTTTCCAAGTGTCCTGTGCATGTTTAGGCACATCTATGTGTAAAAATTCAAAGTCCGCAGAAACGCGGCTTCTTCTACGTCCTCCTGTTAGCTGTAGCATTAGCTGCATCTAACGCTCGATTCTAGCCCTCCTCGATAGAAATTTGTCAGTGCGGCGTCATTGTCAGTGTGAGATCACTGATATAAGTCCATTGGCTCGTTGTGGCAAGCCCTGCAACTCATGTTGAAATTTCCGAGACGCGTGCTGAGCAACTGACCAATAACGACAGAGTGGATCGGCAGACCAATCAGAGCAGACTTGGCCCATGTGGGGTCTAACAGTGTGGGCTCAACAGAGCGTAGCTGACGGACTCAGAGCGGAGAGGGAGCAAGGAGGAGCAGTACATGAAAACAGACACTTTTTTCGGAGGAGGAGGTTCACTTTTTTGTGAACATACAAAAGTAGGTGCATAGATTAAATATATGAACCCCAAAAAGGGCATAATATGGGCTCTTTAAGACAATGAGACTGATGATATTTTAAACTGTTTTTAAAGCTTCACTTGATTGTTGTCTACTTGTTGTTATTAGTCTGCTTAGCTTTGCATTTTGTTGCACTGGTGCTTTTACACAAATTAAGGGAGATAAAGAGAGATCACACAGCTCGTAAAGATTTTGTTAAGGTAAAATATAACTTTACTCATCAGTGGTTTTGTTCATGAAACTTAATGCTCCCACCTACTTACATTTAATGATAACGCTGATTGGTCCAGTCTCAGTAGAATTAAATCTCCTTGTAGACAGTTCGACCTCATACACACAGCTGTAGTTGCCCTGGTGTTTATAATCAGCTACAGGGAAGTCAAAGGAGGCCGAGTGGTTGACTGTTCGCTTTGCGGCAACAATGGTTGAGTCAGAGGAGATGAGAAAGAACTGGCCCTCAGGATAGTTGCAGTTAATGGAGCAGATGAGGACAAAGCGGTAACCCCTGGTGACCTCTGCACCTTCAGGACTCCAGACCAGCCCTCTGTTAGGAGATGTGAGAGAGATACTCGGCTGTTGCAGTCTCACTGGTTTCAAAAGGGTGAGATGAAGAAAATATAATACAACAGGATTTATTTACAGAAAAGATAAGATCTAGATCCAATAAATCAATCAATCAATCAATCCAAATTTGTATAGCGCCAAACATTATCTCGAGACACTTAACAAAAGAGCAAGTAAAAGACCTTACTCAGATTGTGAGTACATATTAAAGAAAGATAAATCTAAAAACAATAAACATCATTGAAAAAGTAAGTCTAAAAGTAAGTCCAGTCTGCATTGGAACAAGCCTCTATTTAACATGAACTGGATGACTGAGAACCTACACAGACAACATTGAAAACAAGAAACTAAATAAAATAACTTATATTGTATGTTTAGAAAAGTATTTACAAATCAACATGTTAAAGAGACTGACTTTTGTCCTTACCAGTGATGGAGAGTCTGAGTGGGTCACTTAGGACGGAGGTGAAATTTTGACTTGAAATGCTTTTCTCGTACTGACACTGATAGGATCCATCATTTTCAAAGTCAACTTGAATAATGTTGAACGTAGCAGAGTTGGAACTTGGTGTTTGGGTCACTGCGAATGAGCCTGGGATTTTCTGAAGAGTGAATGTGCCACCTAGAAGCTCAACTGTGATGGAACAAATGATGACGATATCCTGACCCCAGGTAACCTCACCAACAGGTATCATGGAGATGCTGGGCTTAGGGAGGCTAACTGAAAAAAAACAACAATACTTTGGTGATACAGTTCTCTTAATTTATCTTCAATCTGACAAGAATATGCCTATGTTTTTCAGATCGTATTCAGCATATTCTGGCAAGCCACAATCATCAGAAGTATATAGAATACACCAACTATCAAATAATCATCTGGTTAACTTGTTTTGTATAATCAAACCGGATGTATTGAATAAAGGACAAACTATTTTATATCTTTATAAATAAACAAATACATTTTAAAAGTATGTTTAATCATGGTACTTGCTTTATTTGAGTTTTATTATAACTTTCCTTCCTCTGAGCTTAAAAGTGTTGTTAACTTTGATGATACCACTACCACATATCATGCTAGTCACAGCAAACTTCTGGCACCAAATGAAGAGGAACAGGAAAGGGTTTGAACCTCACAAATACACAAAGTGCCAGTGAACACAGCAACCCAAATAACAGACGCTCTGCTATTGCTATAACACATACCGTATATTTGTGGTTAAGAGTTATGTATTTTGTATTTTGTTAATGTACTATAAATTCTGTTGAGTTTCAAGTGAACATTTGTCTTAGTTAGAAATACTCTTGGCATTTATTGAATGTATGTCCCCACTTAATCCAATTGAGGCTGTTGGGCCACGTAGGTTTAGGACAGTCAAACAATGGACTTGGGCCTGCACCTCTGTAAAAGCCTCATTTGAGTTATTCACTGAGATCACAAAGAGGCCTAAAAGGACTCTTAATCCCAGAATCCCCTGCGGTACTTCACACCTACGCGTGAAGTAAGGGGGGGACCGGAACCTCTCTCTCCTCATTGGAGGGGACCTGAGGTAGACCCCCCATGGAGCAGGCCAGGCTACAAAGCTCCAAGACTTCCATTGTTCTTCCTCTTTCCACGCGCTGACTTCTGGTGCTTGGAGACCCAAGCTTATCTCCTGTTTCCTGCAACAATCTTCCTTTGTTTTAAGTTTTTGGCGCGCAGGTAATCCGCGGCCGGCAGTGTTCTAAATTCCGAGCTCGGATTGTCCAGTGAACGCATCTCAGTTTCTCGGAGAGCGTCAGACTATAACAGATTATCAGAAAGATAACAGTCTTATTACGTCCTGCAACAAAAGGACATCAACGGACATCTTTCCACTCGACGGAGAACCAACGAAGCCGCTCTCGCCGTAAGGGACCCTCGCCGCCATCAGACGCCCATGCCCCAGGACGGGCAGAAGATCTGCTCCATCGCCGGATTCTTTTCCTTTCACCAATCGCGGACAAAGCGATTCACAAGTGAGGCTTAATTAGGTCTGGGCAGAATTAGCTTTAGAGAGTGTTTTTAACAATTGTTGATCAAAGCAGAAACTGGCGCGGGAGTCGGACTGTGATCCGGCCTCTTCAGGCACGCATTTCTCTTTTATTCTCTTTTATCCTCTTTTATTTCCCCTTCTACGAACATACACACACACATATTCCTGTGTAAACGTACATCTGTAGACCAACTCCACCACCGCGCCATTACGCACAGAGATCTATACACTCGCGGCTATCCAGACGGCTATGATAACGTTTGTTGCTTAGACTAGTTTATAATAGTTATTTGCTTAATTAAGTTCATTGATTTTGGATTGATGTTGCTTTGTTTAAATAAATTCTGTTATAATTTAAGAGAGCAGTTGTTTGTGATTACTGGTGTATTTGCATTGTGATATAAGCTGGGTGCGAAGGCTTTGTGTACGGATTTCACGCCTTCAATTTATTAAATATAGTTATTCATTATTAATAATATTAGTAATTAAATAACTAATTTGAGACTGATTTGAGTGATATTTTGGTTATATTTACCTGATTACAGGTTGGTGCCCCAAAACGAGATTAAACATAGTTTAATGATATTTTATTTATATTATTAATAATTAAGTATAATTATTAAAGAATATAACCAAAGTTGACTTGATACAACCCCAACAAATGGTGCCCCGTGTGAGGCTTTCAATAAACCAGCTTTATTGCACTGTTAATGCACAGCAATCCAAACTTAAATCCTAAAAAGGATCCTTCTGAAGAAAATGATATTTTCTTTAAATTTTTGTGGTTTAAGCAAAGCAGACATCAAGCTGTGGCTTAGTTGTGTTGTATGTTGTTAGTTAATGGTTAAAGCCATAACTGTTGTCCCCTTTGGGTCCATACAACAATTGGACATAATGATGCAGCTAGTGTGACTTTATCAAGGAACTTGATTTGTTGCATTAATCTAGATTTTGATCCTGAAGTATTCTACTAAAGGATTGTGGTGCTCCTTGATGAGTGTAACCTCATCATTGTTGCATAGCCAGCTGTCTGAGAGGTGTGAGTTCCTCCCTTCCTTTGAGGACTTGAGGTATGAATCCCCTCTCCTATCTTCCAGGATAGACTGCAGTGATCAGTTGGGAAACTTAGATAAGATTTGCTCTCGTGTACCAAGACCCTAGGTGAGTCGGGACTGAGACTCCTTTTGGATCAGACGACGCAGCACTGCAAGAAACTGTTGCCGGTCTGACGAACCTCTCCTTAGAGGAGAGTGTCAACCTATATAGCTAGTCAATTAGCATTAGTGATAAGAAGTTAGAAGAGCTAGTTGATCTTGTCAACCACAGAGCCAGGCTCACCCCTAATAAAGACAGTATGTATGCAGAAGACATACATCAACTATGGGCCAAAGCTCACTATGGATCAGATGATCCACCCCTTCAAGACGTAGTTGCTCATCTTATCCACCTCCCTATAGAGCAGCTCGACAGCCTGAACTCCTACACCCTCAGCACATGTGAAAAGAAACTAAAGGGCTTGGTTGAATATGCAAATCAACCAATTGGGAAGCCAACACGTACAGTTTCAGATGTTCTAGGCGAAATTCTCCTCCTTTATCAGCGCAAATCAAATGTGCAGAATGAGATACACCGGGAACAGCTAGCCCGGGTACTAGAAGAAGGACAGATCCTGTGGGACGACTTCGAAAGAATGCAGGATAAACTAAAGACCTTGCAGGAAAATTGCAAGGCCCTGCAGGAGGAGAATAAAACACTGCATGAAAGCAGCAAACTGGCCGAACAGAAGAAACGAAGTGACACGGTACCCAGATTTCAGGATAGGCAGATAAGTACTGCAGCCCCCAGATCAGCTGAGGAAACCTCAGACGAAGGATGGGAGACTGAAACAAGCCCCTGGAGGAGGGAGACAGACATGTTGCAGGATCTGGAGGAGAGGGGAAGGCACCGCTGGGTCGACCCAGGCACAAAAGCGCCCACGTCCTCAGACCACCCGGTAAAGAGCTGGATGATTAAAGATGAAGGGCCCCCGCGTTCCGCAATACGCTTTGAGCGAAGAGAACCCTCACCCCGCAGGAGGAGAGACTTTACTCCCCCTAGAGACAGGGAGGAGACACAGGCCCAATCGGGCACCGAACGCTACCTGTCCCACGACAGACGGCCACGTCTGAGCCGAACACAAACCCCGCCATGGTTACAACCCTACTACCGTGACAACCACAGGGCTTACGATTCGTCAGACGAATCGGACGACCCTTGCCAGCCTTCGGGTCAGGGCCTGCGAACCAGGCAGATAGAACCTCAGGCCAAAGATCTGAAGCGTTTTGACCCAGATAGCCCAGATTCAAGTATTAACAACTACCTTAGAGAAGTTGACCATTGTCTCCTTGACCTGCCTCATGCGTCCTCACATGAAAAACTGAAACGGATCTGGAAGACTACGGCTAGGAGTGTCCGTGATTTCATGGAGACACTCCCACCAAAGGTCCGATCCTTGCAGAAAGGAAACAAATCTGTTAGTCAGCACTTACAAACTGCCAAGCAGAAAGTGTTGGACATGAATTAATTGAATTAAGTCAGGGAGCACAGGTAAGCATGGAGCAAGACATATCGTCAGGATATGACTCTGATCCTGGACCAAGCCCCTTAAGAGATCAAACAACCCTGCTGAAAAAGCTCAGTAAAGAACCGAGCAGCCAGGATAACCCAAGGACTGAGGAAATAAGTCTAGTTTTCCCTGATTTTGACTGTGGAGCCCCGCTCCTTGGGGAAACGCCCCAGTTCTCTGACAACTGTGACACCCTTTCACACCTTCACAGGTTTGAATCACCACATAGGAAGGGGGTGACTTCTCAGCCCCCAGAGGCAGAGATAACACCAGGCCCCCTCCTGCTACCTGTAGGTTCCCATTGCAGGATTCACGGCTGAGGAATATCCAAACCTCAGATGACTGGGATGGCTCCCTTCTACCCAGAGATCAAAGAATGCGCATAAGGCTCATTGAATCTATGGCACAGGATGTAGAGCGGTTTGATCCAGATAACTCAGACCTCTGCATCGATGATTACCTCGGAGAGATTAACCTGTGTCTCAGTGAGGTACCTGATGCATCCACAAGAGAAAAACTCAGGCTGATCTGGAAGACAACTTCCAAGAGTGTCCATAACTTCAAGACTACCCTTCAGCCTGAGATCAGATACCAGTACTCTGCGCTCTGCAATGCTTTGCGCCAGGAATACTCCACCTACATTGACCCTGCATCTGCCCTTCTTAGTGCTTTCAGTGTCTTGCACCAGAAGCACGAGGCCCCCAAAGATTATTACTGGCGACTAAGATCTGCATATTTCCAGGGACGTGAGCCTCCAGGTTTGGAAGAGAACCCAACTTTCAAGTCCATCTTCATGCACAACCTGCATGGCTGCGTGCGTTCAGATGTCACCCTGCATAGTCGTACACATCAGCTTAGTATGAAAGAGATCAAGAGATTCGCACAGGCGGTTTGGCAGACACGCTTACGTCACGTGTCACGTGAGGGCAACAAGTTGCCTCGTGCTAGGAATAAGAGACTATATCACCGGCAGAATAGAGAACAGAGCCAGGGGGGTGAAGGTGGGACTCAACCACAGAGTAGGTTCCAGCCTGGAGAACTGATCACTACCAGATCCGAACGGAACTCTCGGGATGGCCGTAGTCTGAGACAGAAGGGTAGGTATAACCGGAGTTCCTACGAGCTCCCTAAGGACTCCCTCGCTTACAGAGAACCCGATTCTGACTCCACATAGGAGTGGGGGTGTAGCCTCCATTCTAGAAACACAACAATGTCACTCTACCGACATGAATGTTTCCTAGTCCCTGTTTTGTGTTTTGACATTGGTAGGGAGACACATAATGTACATGTACATTTACACACCTACATACCACAAACACCTTCCCACAGGCTTACTCCTGCCCAGGCTAGGAGTTAGCCCACAAACCTACACCTTATACTCTTCTCTTTCTCCCTTCCTCTTGTCTGTTTGTTTCATTTGTTTTGTTAAAGAATGCACCTTGAGTAGCAAAGCTTTGCTAATGCCTGGTTATGTTTTATGCCTAGCTTTAGACATAGTTAGACAGTCTGCCCAGACTTTGCCTCAGTGTCTGCCCAGACCGAATGCCTCTCAAAATGTATAGACTTTTGCTCACTAACTATTTGAACATTTGTCTCCTAACACATGGACTGTTGGCCCTATTTGCCCTAAAGACCACGACCCGCAATCCCATTCTTCAGGACAAAGGGGGGGATGTTGGGCCACGCAGGCTTAGGACAGTCAGACAATGGACTTGGGCCTGCACCTCTGTAAAAGCCTCATTTGAGTTATTCACTGAGATCACAAAGAGGCCTAAAAGGACTCTTAGAACGACCACTCTTGAGACTGATTTGAGTGATATTTTGGTTATATTTACCTGATTACAGGTTGGTGCCCCAAAACGAGATTAAACATAGTTTAATGATATTTTATTTATATTATTAATAATTAAGTATAATTATTAAAGAATATAACCAAAGTTGACTTGATACAACCCCAACAAGGCATTGAAGTTGTGTGTGAAATGTGATAAGAAGTAATTTTTACATTAATGGTGGTAAATGGACTTGAGACTCGCAAAGTCTTTCTAGTCTTCTGACAACTCAAAGCACTTTTACACTGCAGGGGCTGTATTCACAAAATCTCTTAAGTACTAAGAGTTGCTCCTTGTGACAGAATTCTTAGAACGTTTTTAGAATCGTGACATTTCCTAAGAATTTTCCCTCAAAGTTAAGACTAGATCCTTGTTAAAAAAGGAAAGTTATTCACGCAGTGTCTTAGCCCTTAAGAGAGCTCCTAAGGCTACAAACTGTTAAGGAGTAGTGAGGAGGACTTTTAACAGGTTTAAGAGTTTTTTCAAGCAGCGGAGAAAATGGAAACATGTTCTGCAAACACTCCATGAAGAATATTTGTTTTCAATCATTGTTTGGCCGAAGAGACAAAAATGATATGTGCAGACATTTAATAAATCCATCTGTGACTTCTTTCAGTGCAAAGTGAGACATGTATGTTGAGTTTGTCTACATGTGGTTACCTCCACAGGTGCATCCAATCACTAATTAAGGACCTTCACATGTTGATATAACAATCAGCATGTAAAGAGGCTGCTGCACAAGTGGGCATGTGATTTCAAACATTTTGTAGGCTATATATTTTTAAAATATATTTATCCCATGGAGATGTTCATAATTACACAATGGGCCCAATCGATTTCACTGTCTATGGCCATTATCACTAAGACAGCACAGTTTTTCCTCCATTTATTAGATCAACCAATGACAGCTTCTGAAAGAAATGTGTCATATCTAGCAACGGAGTCAACCACGCCTCCTCATTAAGACAAAAGTTTCCGTCTCTTCCTTGCCCAGAGTTGCTCTGAGAATGTTCCTAAATCATTCCTAGGCTAAAATTCCTTGCTCTGAGTTTTTAGTGTAAGTTAGGAGCTCTCTGAGAGGATTCTCAGAATGTTTGTGAATACAGGTGCAGAACTCCCGGTAGAGAGATGACCAACTCAGCCACTGAGCCACAGTCGTCCTTGAAATAAATGTAAGCAATATTAATAATAATAATGAATGATAAAGTAAACCTATGAGTAAAAAGCAGCTTCTCTTTGATGATAACACTGCATTACCATGAATGATTACACTGACTTTATCTTTGTTGAGTTGATGAGACTCAGCATTCTCTCCTCCAGCCCTTTAGGTTGCCTTTGATATTTTCACAACTTCATCAATATTTAAAATATTAAAAACTATGCTCACCAGAACAGATCACACCAGCATCCTCATTGTGTTGACAGTTGTGTTCCCCCATTTCTTTGGACTGACACTCAGTTAGAAAACGTTCACTTCCTGAACAGGCCACATCATCCAGCAAGATTGGGTCAGCTCCTTCACCAAAAAGGGCACTTCCAGGAGCACTCAGTGCCGTCCCACAGCTCAGCTGTCTGCACACCACCTCAGCATCTCTTAAGTCCCAGTCATCATCACATACTGTTCCCCAGGTACTGCCATTGAAGAGTTCAACTCTTCCAGAGCACTGAGTAGATCCAGCTAATCTGATCTGAGTACCTGAGAATTGATCACAGTAGAAAAAACATTTCTGGATGAAACATGCCTTTCTTTTCTTACTGGGTCATTTGAAAAACTGATTTGAAGATAAATGCAGAAAAACATTTTGATTCATTTAGAAATATTGTATCAACAAATCACGATTATCATTCTGCTCTTAAATTTAAAGAGCATGCAGCAGGGTGTGGTTACCAGCTTTTACATGTGAAAAAGTTCCTACAGGCTGCACAGACCCACAATGACAAAAACAGGTTGATTTCAAAAAGCACACTTGATTTTTCAAAACATTTGTTACAAAAAGGTTCTTACCTGAGCAGACCACGCCAGCATCCTCACTGTGTTCACAGTTGTGTTTTCCCATTTCGCTGGATTGACACTCAGTTAAAGAACGTTCACTTCCTGAACAGGCCACATCATCCAGCAAGATTGGGTCAGCTCCTTCACCAAAACTGGCACTTCCAGGAGCACTCAGTGCCTTCCCACAGCTCAGCTGTCTGCACACCACCTCAGCATCTCTTAAGTCCCAGTCATCATCACATACTGTTCCCCAGGTACTGCCATAGAAGAGTTCAACTCTTCCAGAGCACTGAGTAGATCCAGCTAATCTGATTTGAGCATCTGAAAATTGATCACAGTAGAAAAAACATTTCTGAAAGACACCTTTGACAGATGTTATTTAAATGGTAAATGGACTTGAGCTTATATCGCACTTTTCTAGTCTTCAGACTACTCAAAGTATTTTTACTCTGCATGTCACACCCACCCATTCACACACTGATGGTAGTGGTTGCTATGTAGTATCATCCATCAGAAGTAACTAATCCATTCATATACCGCCACTGAAGCAGCGGGAGCAATGCAGGGTTAAGTGTCTTGCCCACAGACACATCAGACATGTTGCCCAGCTGGGGATCGAACCCGCAACCTTCTGGTTGAAAGACGACTACTCTACCAACTGAACTGGAAAGGCTACACATACACAGATTCAAACAAGAGAAAGTACAATTTTGCCTTGTAAGTCTGAATCAGCGTTCTCGTGCTCGGCCAACGACTCCAACTGAGCCACAACCCACCAAAACATTGTTCTAATTCCAGCTAAACTAGCCCAATTGATCTGATCTGACCACCCTTCAGGCACATAAGACTTAATACAGGCTATGGTATCGTTGTGGAAATGAAGCAATTTTAGAAAATTGGACTGACCTGCAGCAGGCAAAGAAGAGGTCCAGAGTACAGAGACTATAGAAGAGAAGAAAGTTACAATAAGAGCAGAAATATAAATGTCCTTTTTTCATCTAACTCTCTCTGTATATTTGAATTAATTGAGTATAATAAAGTATAGTGTCATAACTATTCTGTTAACCTGCTTTCAAATGTTGAATCTTGGAACATTCTTCTTACCCAGGGTCAAGTAAAGGTTTCTCTGTTGTATGCTCCTCATGGCTGATGCATAGGGTGCTTGTATCATTATCGGTGAAAGGACAGACCGAAAAATGACTTTAAAAAAGCCTGCAGACGCACTTAACCCTGCTTGTCTTTTTTCTGAAATACTTCCTCTTTACAGTGCTGATGTTTTTTTTAAACAAAAAAGTTCAGCAGAACTCAGCTGCTTAAATTGGAACCGCTGCTGCACAGAGACAGCAAAGTTGTCACAAAAAAAATATTTTCGGTTCTAGGGCTTAATCCTGTGAATTTTATAAGCATGCTGTTGTGAGGGTTGTAGATAAACCAATTGGTCTTTCTCAGCTCTGGTGGGGCTATCCTTGTTAAGTGATGTATTAAATTCATGTTAGGGTATTCAGTTACCACTTCCTGTTTTTACTTGGTTATTTTTGTCACTTAGTCCCTTGTGTGCAGCCTTTCTTCCTTCTCTGGCTTTAACCCCCGGAGCCATAGTCTCTGCATTTCAAGTCTCTTATCTCCTTGTTCCTCTTAAGAGTTTGTATTTTATAGTCCTGGTCTAAAAAAACTGTTTGAAATATGTATTAAGTACGAAAGCATTAGCTGATGCTGCCATGACAAACACACTTCAAGTGATAAAAGGACATCCCATGTGTCTATAGTGACATATTGTCTTGTTAGTTTTCACCTTGCATAGGTATCTCCGTTCATCTTTGGTAGGACGGACTAAAGACACAAGCCTTGAGAGTGGGCAGGAGGCATGGATGCAACTTAAGAGACCTGGGTCCTTTCCGAATAGCCACAGATCAGTAGGATGTGCAGACTTTTCAGTAGGGGGTTTCAGTAGACTGAACCTTTGTGGTCATTCAGTGGTCATTTTTTGGGTCCACCTCAGTAGACTGAACATTTCAGCATGGATACTAACTTCCGGGTTTTATGCATATGGATTGGATACATCGTTTCAGGAAATGAATTGTATTTTACCACCCACAATGCTGTGTGAAAATAAACATAAAATGTCACTTTACGTGCGCCTCCAAATCAAAACAAACAAGCGTGGATTAATTGAATCAATTTTTAATCTAGAGTTAAAGTCCCGACTGAAATCATTACTTTTAATAAACAACAAAAAATGTAACAAATGTATGAATTCAGTAGACAGTACCTACTATATGTGCTGTATACATTTATTATCTGCACAGTAGGCAGATATTTGTTCCTTCGTCGTCTGATTCATTCAGTAAAGTAAAATAAACCAATAAAGACGCATACATAAATATGGAAATCATTATTTAAATAGAGGTCTCAGGGGAAAAGGGTTTATAATAATTCAGACATTTGTTATATTTTTTGTTGTTAATTAAAAGTAGCAAAAATTTATTAAATTAATCCACGCTAGTTTGTTTTGATTATGAGGCACACGTGAAGTGAACAATTTACATTTATTTTCGCACAGCATTGTGGGTGGTGAAATACAATTCATTTCCTGAAAGGATGCATCCGATCCATACTGCATGAAACCCGGAAGTTAGTATCCATGCTGAAATGTTCAGTATACTGAGGTGGACCCAATAAATGCATACTGAATGACCACGAAAGTTCAGTATACTGAAACTCCCTACTGAGAAGTACTGCATACTGAACTGTGGCTATTCGGGAAAGGACCAATGTCTTAACCTCTTTCTTTTCCAATTCTCCGTGTGTTGATGTTTCCGATTGGCTCTGAATCGATTAGTGAGAAAAAACCTCACTCAGTCATTGTTTATATTGTTTAAATTGATCACATTCAAGTAATGAATCCTGAACAATATTATATCAAAAGGTTAGTGATATGGTCTGTTTGAGTAAAACTAGAAAAATATTGGCTGGTTTCTTTTTTTTGCATTTTGTTGATGGTTGTCAATTTTCAGCAAAACCTGTGTTACTGTTCTTTAAAGAGCTGTCATAGTAGACAGGATTCATTTTTGTAGTCCTTCAACCAAAATTCCAGATTTTCCAGCAACTTTAAAGTGAATGGAACACAAGTTCAAGGACAAGTGTCAATACATCTCAAAAGATACATTTAAAAAAGTGATCTAAATGGATTCTGAATCTTAAACACTTAAGAAAGGAATCTAGATCTTAGGAATCCAGGCAAATTTATTCTAGATCTGACAAATTCATAACAAGGAGCAGTATGAGATGTTGATGTTGATAAAACCGTCTTAGAGAAAATACTTCCTTAATAACAATTGGCATTTTCTCAGGCTGTGAATTTAATGGCAGTTGAATCATAGCTTAAATTAGCGTCTTGTGTTCATAAACACCTCAAACATAAAATGTCTTAAAACACAAGTCCAAAACCAAAGTTGTGTCTTGATACTTCTTCTTTATACTTCCTCTATATGAATTATACTTCCTCAAATACTCAAAGCTCTTTAGGGAGGTGCTCTAACCACATTGCCTAGAAGTATCTTGAACGTATCTTTAGTCAACTTCAGTTCATATTCACAGTGTCTATCTACAGTTATTTAGCTGTTTAAAAATGAATATGAATTTGTTTTCTTTGCATTGTTCACACTCAACTGAATATTTTTGTTATCTTAAAGGCTTTTTATGCGATTTTTCACACTTAAATGTAATATAAATCAAGTATATCCTGTGAAAATAACTGTGAGTAATGACTGTCTACAATGGGTGTAACACCCGAGTCCCACTGTCTGTGATGTTTTCAGAGTTTTCAGAGTCCTATCTTCAGTTTGTTTACATTACATTACATTTAATTGAGGGACTAGAGAAAAGAAGCATACCATACTGTACTCACTGCTTAGCTGTGTTTCTAGATCACGCTCATTTCAGGTAAATTTACATGCAGTGTGACGATACGAGCATAGTAAAGATCGCTAGCATTAGCATGCTAACACAACAATGCAGCGCGAGTAGTTTTGGTTTCATGCTGGTGCTCAAGGGCGACATCTGCTAGATCAAAAAAATCACATATAAAGCCTTTAACCACTTGTCGTTCTCTGCAAATACAAGACGTGAGAATATGGAAGACAGGAAGTTTGGAGAAATTTTGTATACAATAAAAACAGTTCACTTTTATTAAAACACAGTCCGATAAACAGTAGTATTCATTTTTTTACAAATTGAAATGGTGTTATGATTTTCTAGATTTAAAGCAAAATTATGTGGATAGAATGAATAAGGAGGAGAACAAGGTAATATATCTTAGGCATAATGTAACACGTGTCTTCACTGTCCACTTGATTGGTTCACACTTTAAGATTTTAATTGTTTTTTTACTTGATAAAACTGTTTGCCATGGGTCAAAGGTCCAGTACTTTTGCCATTTTAAATCATTCTGACACCTAAAGGTCTAGATAAATATCCTCCTGTTTTTCATAGATGTCTAAAGTTGGTTCATTAAATGGCTGGATTACACTGTCATAGTAATCTTCAACTTCACTGGTTTCTTCTTGTCGTTCTTCTCTTTCTTGTCTGAAAAAGACATCGTTGGTCTTTCTCAAGATTGAATCTGGGGCCACTTCATCACAATCATGGCCCTTGTATCTCTCTGGCTCCTCATATATATTCTCTTCTTCCACTCTCACCGTTTCCTCTTTCAGATTCTTCTCGGTGTCAATTGAACAAACATTCACATAGTCCTCTCTATCATCTTCATGACAACTCCCCACTCTGGCAGCCACTGAAACAGAAGAATTTGAAACACATGTCAGTACTTATGGCTGAACTCTTGAGAAAGTGTGTATTTAAAATGTAGAAAATATGTGGCTTGATGAGCACATTGAGTTTGGACCAGGGTTCCTGGCTGCTTGGCTTTTCGTCCTCTTTTGCAGAGCAGACAGATCACCAAAAGCACTACAAACAGCAGCAGGAGGATCCCAGCAGTTACTGAGGACACCAGAGGCAGATTATAGAGAGGCACTAGGAAAGAGAACATTTGATTAATTTATCATACATAAATGTTTTATTATCTCTAAACCACATACGGCTAAAATAGTGTGCTTTAAGTTTAAACCCAAGACTTGGATATAAGGATGAGGGTATCCATTCATATGCTACACCAGTGGAAAAAAATGTAAGCTTCCATCCACCTCAGCTTTACCCCAACGACATCTGCTGGAAACTAGGTTACTATGATTCATGACCAAAACATTTTTACAGACCAATTAGGTTTTGTCCAACTTAATATGCTGCCACCTTGACTTACCATTAAACCAGGGCTGCAAGCACACTGTACACATACACACCTCTGAAAATGGTCCAAATTGCTGCAGGACAGCTGGTCTTTAATCAGCCTAAACAAGTTTATGGTACTCTATTTAATAACTAACATTGCTGAGCGGAGCCATTGCTATTAAGAAAGAGGATGGAACAATTTTGAAGTCATTAGGAAGTTATTAGTTGTTGGTAAATGGTAAATGGACTTGAGCTTCGTTTGAGAAGGGTTTTTTTTCTCCAGAAATGTATTTTTATTTAACCAGCCAGTAACTTTGATTTTTTTTAGTTAAGTTTTTGCCCTGTTTGGGTCTTTATCTAATTTGTATAAAGGCTTATCTGCCTTTTCAGCGGAAACAAAGGGAGATATTGCACATCATAAAATATTTTGTTATGACACTTTTACCAATATTGCACAGTGTACACTTTAATTGGTAATTAAAAAATTAAAAAATGCTAAGCTTAATTCTACTCACATTTAATAACAACCCTGATTGCTCCTGTTTCAGTAGAATTAAATCTCCTTGTAGACAGTTCGACCTCATACACACAGCTGTAGTTGCCCTGGTGTTTATACTCAGCTACAGGGAAGTCAAAGGAGGCCGAGTGGTTGATTGCAGGCTTGGTGGCAACAATGGTTGAGTCAGAGGAGATGAGAAAGAATTGGCCCTCAGAGTAGCTGCTGTTAATGGAGCAGATGAAGATAAATCTGTAACCCCTGGTGACCTCTGCACCTTCAGGACTCCAGACCAGCCCTCTGTTAGGAGATGTGAGAGAGATACTCGGCTGTTGCAGTCTCACTGGATTCGAAAGGGATAATACAAAGAACAATAAGACAACAGGATTTTAAAAACAGGTCAGGATAAGGTGCAGATTCCTGATAAAGCCCCATACACAATCAAGCACATTCAGGCTGTGAATTTATTGGTAGTTGAAATGGAGACAAAACTAGCTTCTTGTGAAGTTCACACAAAATTGTGTCTTGATACTTCTTGTTTATACTTCCTCATTATGCATTATGCTTCCTCAAATACTTTAAGATGTGAAGCTCTTTTGGGAGGTGCTCTAATAACTTATTATCTTTATCACATAGTGTTCTACTGCAAAGACAAAAACATGTTTTAAAGAAAGTTT